AGTGGCAGCTTAACCAATGCGGCTCAACATGAAGTCATAAGGAAATAAATTTGGCAAAACACAAGTTACTTACAGGAAGAAATATTGCCAAGTCTCACCAAGGGGTCTATAAGAGTAGACTGCAGCTCGATTAAAATTTCTAAGCTGTGTCGTAAGGCATGTCAAATAAATTCGCATAATCCACGAGGGGAAATATACAATTAAAGGAAAGTTTTTTTTTTATCCAGTCGTGATTTCGTCAGCTTTTAAAGCTTTTCTGTGTCTTCTTTAAATGTCAACTGCGCTATATTTTAAAGCAATTAAGATTGAGCTGAATACATAGCATTAACTTTTTTAACATGTGGTACAGTATCAAATTACGGCCAAAAAGCATTCAGTCGTCGACCTTCAGACTAATTCATAAACTAGCTCCGTGTCCCTTTCCAGTAGATGTACAATAGGGTTCATTTTCATCTACTCCATCCGTGTCTAAAGTACCGCTGGCTTAAATGCCATCTGATGCGGCCAGTTAAGCGTATCAATGCGCGGTCAATGTGATGCCTATCCTTTACAGGCATACAGACTTGCGTTAACTTCAATTAATCGTCAGGAACATCGTTTTTTTTTATTATAGAACGGCCTGAGTAAAGGCTGACAATTTAGACAGAGGCAGAAAACGAGATAGCTGTCACTTAATGTCTAAATGCAATATTTATTACTTGTTGTTCTTCTCTAAATGACTTTTCTAATGTTAAAATCCATACTAAGCGGAAAACAAAATGACATGAAATTAGACATGAAAACTGAATTAGGCGTAGATGTATGCAGCTACTTTGCATGCCTAAGTGTCCCCAAACATTAACTACTCTTTTTAACAACGCCTCGGTAGAGTTCTGTTTAACAAAAATGGTCCCCGTGGACGACAATTGTATGATAATCATAAATCATACTCCACCGAGACGAAGCTACTGTTTTTAACATAGACCGTGGTTCCTATAATAGGTCTCCTATGGACAATTGTAAACAGTTATTTGTGACCGTTTTGTTGGAGTAAGTACCGAGGCCTCTTCAGATAATCCAAGGGTTTTTTTTTTTAAGATGCATATCAAGTGAACAGTGATGCCAAATTATTGACACTTAACCCTATCGAATGTCTTCATACAGTACAGTTTCAAAAAATACCACAGTGTTTCTTTTAGCTATATTTCCTTTCGTTTGTTTTATTTTGAGACAAGACTTCCGGCTTATAAAGTGATTAAGGATATTGTTACCCTTCGCCCAAAACTCCTATTAACTGCCTTACATACATTCTTTTGTGTAATAAACAGATCTTCAGTGTTCAGTGACTAAATTCATTAACAGTTATGTCATCTTACAGGTGACGTCATCATTGTGATTTTGGGGTAAACTCTGGAAATTGGTGTCTCAAATTTCTCTTTTACCTGAGGACCCACGATCAGCGTTCCAACGCCGATTTAATGAAATCATTAAGTACGCCAAAACCCTGCCAGCGATTTTTCTAAAAAGTATTAATTCAGATTTTATCGTTTATAAAGCAAAATAATGCCTTTCACTAATGAAAATCTGTTAACTCCATAACAAATATATTCAAACCAAAATGACGGCACGGTATTGTAGAACGTACACTCCTGATCAAATATGCCAATTTTCGTGATAAAATCTTGTTCAGGGATTAAGTTACGCCCCATACCGTTTGCTATCTCACCTCAAAATAGAAAGGTGTTAAAATGACAATTAAAGCTGTGAGTTGCCTATGTTTATACATTGCAACGAAAAAATATAAACGCCGATACTTTTTATTTTCTAGGGCTTTTTCATAAATTTAAATTAGCACAAAGATAGAGGTATTAATGAATAATTAGATGCAGGAAAAATCTCATTTTCGGTATCTGGTTGATAATAAAGGATTACAATAACCTTAATTAGGGTTATTTTTAGGCTCTGAAACTAGTGGTAGTAATTTACATGCGTTTAACAGGTAATGTGCACAGCTGTACTTTGTGTTACGTATTATAAAAAAAGTTTCACGCTGGTTAATCAAGTTCGATTCTGACTGAAGAGGAATATACCAGTACAGCCACTTTCTTGCACCGACACGATAGAGTCACTATTGAGGTAGGCTACCTGGAAGAGCGCGAAATCCACTTCTTATAGACATTTAAAAGTGAGCGATACTTAAACCAAAACTACTGCAAAAAGAAAAAAGAAAAAAAAAAACACGTATCGTTCCGTCTTTCCAAAGACAGAAATTCTTGATTTATCAATAGATATACAAAGAGAGAAATAAACACGAGGATAGGGAATTGAGTCAGTAGATATTTCCCACGTATCTTCGCCGTCTACACAGCCTTTCGCAAAGTACCCGAAGACCCGACAACCAACTAATCCAGCAGACTAAAAAATAATTGGCTTGAACTTTTAAAACATAGAAACATTGTCATTAACAAACTTTTCTGACAACGCCGTATTCGTTTGATATTCAGAATGTAGCTTTTTGAAAATGGCAAATGAAGGTCCCTGAACTCGTAGTTTGCTTAATATTCTTTGAAATTCAGGACAAGAATATAAGTGATCTTTAAACAACTGTTAGGTTATTTGCGTATCGCCTGCAAATCTTCCCAAATTTATACCAAAATCGAGGGACCAACATGCTAGTCATAGATCCATCATTACAAACAAGAGCGTCTGATGAAAAAAAATATGTAACCAGACCCCCTGCTGTACCTGGTATATTTTTATTCCTCAAACTACCTGTTAAGATACCATGACTAACGAGATCGTCTGATGGCAAAATAACGTATACAGACCCCTAAGGTACGCTGTGCCTGATATTTTTTCTCTACTGTTTAATTCTTAAAGGCGCTTCGTATTGCTTATCTCATTTGCGTACTAATAAATATATTACACAAAGCTAAAAAAAGGTTTTTAGAATAACAACATGCCATATAGTCCTCCGAAGCAAAGAGAAGTCGGCTTCTAAAACGCTTTGCGAATTATAATAGAACTTGTTGGGTCTATTTTTATAAAACATTCACTCTTTCTCCTAACTCCAATCAATCACGCAGTTTTGCACAATAAATAATTCATATGAGCATTTCACTTTTGTTGTTTAAGCACGCTTTTTATTTGTATTGATCGACTCACTACCAGCAGCTTATTCTTCGATTAAAATGTTGTCATCAATAAGACAGAAGTATTCATAGATGCACCAATTACTAGTAGACATATCAGACAATAACCTCAGTAAACAACCTAGCCCATTCAACCAAGTACGACCGACCCAGTGTAATATGTGTTTTACTACGGAGCACTTGGGTGCTTTTTTGTGTGTGTGCTTTTTGTGTGTGTGTGTGGGGGGGGGGGTCTTTGGGAAGTATCGGAACCAGTTTGACACGGAAAAAGTTAGTCAGAACACCCCAATGTCCTCTCGTAATGACAATATGCCAACACCCATTATGTTTCAACACTACATGTATAATCGACTGTTTCAGTCAAAACGTGATGTGCTTCTGTAAATGCAGAAAGTGCCTTCAAATTGACAACTACATGTATATGAATGTGAACATCGTGATGTTATCTAAGGATGTTGTCGAAAAACCATTGCCGTCTGGCGTTATCTAGTTGTTCCTCAATATATTTGCAGGCAATTTTTCAGATTTTATTTACTCGCGTAGGTTCTGCAGTCCATATAGAGATGCGCGCGCAATTGGTCTTATGGACTAGACTGCGTAAGCACGGCGATCTGTAGGGGATTCTGAATCACTGACAGTCTGCTCAACTGACAAAGATAGAGTCGCGCTGCTTGAACATAACCGATTGTGATAAGGCAAGCAAAGCGCACTCTGAAAAGTTGCCAACCTAAACCGATTGCGATAGAGGAGAACGGTTGTGACACGGTCGCACTCGAAGTCGTATTATTCTCTTTTTGTCTCCTCCACAAGGTAGGTTGTCTGTAGGTTCTTAACTGCATGTACGTATACTTTCTAATTTCGTTTACTATGCGATAGAAAAATCTTCAGAAAAAATGTACATCAACATACATTCGTTATTAACATTTTTAGCCCTTACCAAGACTGAGCAAAAGCCCATGGAATAAATAAGCATGCTAATTACTGTATCTCATCAACATACAGAACACTTAAAAACAAGGCGCTGAAATAAAATGCAAAAGCAATATAGACCAATCTTTTACGGGACTATAAATCAAAATTTTAAACGTCATCACAGCCGTTACAAACATTTCTGTTTTGTCGGAATTATGCAACATTAAGGCCGTATTCCCATAGACACCGTCAGTCTACTTAGATCGATCCAACTCCGCGGGGAGTCTTGCTGAATGCAATCAGTTTAACAGATTGACACATCTCCTATTGGCGTTGAGTAAAATACAGAAAATTATTATTTATTGATTGATTATACGAGTACACTGGAAACAAGGGGGGCGTGTCAATCAGTTGAGCTGATTACACTCAGCGAGAATCCCTGCAGAGTTGGATTCATCTAAGTAGACCTATGGCGTATTATGGAAATGGGGTCTAAGACAACCTGCAGAGGTGGTTGTCATCGTAGTTCTTCATTAAATAAGTGTGATGGCTCATGATGATTTATAAATACTGGGGTTTACACAATGTTAATGGAGTCCACATTAAAATCGTTTTAACAGTACGCTGAAGTCACTTAAGAACAACATGCCGCAGTATAGTCTGTCCTTTCTTTTAAAGATATAATATGCATCGAAAATATCCCCAAATATCGGCTGTTATGTCTTAAAATATTCTGAACAACAATTCGATTTCCCAAATTCAGATAAACAGCGATAAACCACCTCTGGTGTCGACAATTATGCAATATATCAGTAAATTGTGCAAAACATCAACTCCGGTTGTAGGCAATCGTCGAACTATGATTCGTTAGTAGAATATGATTGCTTTTTTTTTTCTTGAGGGAAAACCTCGCGGAGCTTGAAGTGAAATCAAGCTGTGGCCGTTATTACACTGTATGGATTTATTAAAGTGGGCTGTTGCAATCAAGTTTCGACGCAGCGAATAACTTTTTGTGAGAATCCTACATCGCTGGACTTACTCAACTTCAAACGGTGCTGTTGGTGCTCTTTCCTCACTGCACCGAATTCATTTACATACATATATTTTTTTAATGTGTCGGGCTTTGCTGCAAATGTACATTTACACTTGTGAATTATTCGGACGTCTGAGTTACGCAGTCCCTAATTCAGGAATCCGCTCTGCTTTAAATAGCTACCGGAGCTAGTCCAGGGGTGGCCATTAGCTGCACGCGTCTCTGGATCCCTTAACAGAACTAAAATACAATCAAGCTGTATTCGCAATGGACGCAAAGACGAAAGAAGCCGCTTTAGCTAATAACGCCAGACAATTTAGGAAAGGTATTGTCCCTGACGAAGTGAGGGAATGTTATGATAACTATGCCGGTCGGTATGATAAGGTGGGAAAGATTTTTATTTATTAACGCGTCATTATCATATGTTATTGTTGAAATATATTATAGCTAGGTCACAGGCTTAAAAAAAGCTATAATAACTAATAAAGATTGCTTTTCTTCTTCTTCTTCTTCTTTTTCTTCTTCTTATTATTATTAACTGACAAGCTGATCTGTCGCGGCGATCGCGCTCATATGTAGTTTACCTGTAACCGTAAATTATGAAGTTTAATGACATCAAAACAATTTCATTCCGAGGACTTTAAGCTGTTCTGCCAGTGGTTGTAACATGAATACGGTTGAAAATAGTCAGTCAGTGTCAGTCAAGTCAATGTCAGTCAAGTCAGCGTCAGTGAGTAAGGTCAGTTTCAGCCAGAAAAATAAGTATCAGTCAGTACAGTGTTAGTTTGTCAAGTTGGTGTCAAACTCTGTCAGTCAAGCCAGTTTCAGTCAGAGTCAGTCAGTGTCAGTCACGTCAGTGTCAGTCAGAGTCAGTACGTGTCAGTCACGTCAGTGTGACAGTCAGCTCAGTCAATGTCAGGCAGTGCCAGTCAAGTCAGTGTCAGTTTATTCAATGTCAGGCAGTGCCAGTCAAGTCGGTGTCAGTCGTTCTGTTATGCGAATGAAGCAGTCGAGCTTGAAAGGATAATTCGGTTAGAGCTAACAGTACTTAAAACCGGGGGTTATATACTAGTATATAGACGATGCAAGTTTATTAAAATCATCATGCATAGTCACTAGATATTGCTATCCTAAAGACAACAAGCCACTGACCATATATATATATGTATGTACAGATCCACACGCGCGCTCACATACACAAGAACTGTGTTTAACACAAAGCATCAACACTTGGTAAGTTAATTTCGAAGGCGGTTCATAGTATGGTTGCCGTACTAAATCGCAGATAAGACCTATTTTACAGGTTCATCCAGTTATAACTTTTTCATTTTTGCACATTACAATACCCGCACGAAAATGCAGTAGTATTGAAGTAGCAAAGAAGCAATAAGCTCCCACATCGAAGCAGTTTTGAGGCATGATTGCAGTATGATTGCAGTAGTCTACTGCGCTGGAATATATCTACTGCGTTTTCATGCGGGTATGGTTTAAAATCAGCACGTTGTTTCGCGTGTCTATAATATATGGATACACTGTGATACCATAGAGTTAAACTATACAAGTCTAGCAAACACAAATCAAAGTTCAGGCGTGTCTACTGGTACAAATAATAAAATGAAACAGATTATTTTTAATTAATGCACCAGGTACCTGATAACCACACCTGATTACGAACACAGCGTACATGCAAGTGAGAGGGGATAAGGTTGCTTGATAAAAGCCTGCTTTCGCCGTTCTACAGTGGGACGTGTAAATCACGAGTGTCTTAATGACCATAGGCTGCGCCGTATATTATGTGAATAGTGGATCTAAAAGATAATCTATCATGCCACACATGCGGAAAAACTATCAACTCCTGGAAAAAATAGCCATCAATGCTCTTTTGAGAAAATACACTGGTACAACTGTAAATACAGAATTAATGATATTGTTGAAGATTGAGAGAGAGGAAAAGTAGAAAAATGTTTCAGGGATTTAAGAAGTTTGATGGATTTTTTTTCAGGAAGGGGATAACCTTTTTAGAAATACTTCTTCACAAGTGGTTTTCACTGTGAATATATGAAAAGTACTAAACGTGACCACTTTATCAATCAAGGCAATGAAAAAAAAAATGAGACGAAAAGATTTTGAACTGTATAAATGCATGTTTGAATGACCTAGATTAAAATGCTGATTTTTTTTTACCAGGATTTGAACCCAGAATCTTACTTAGGACCAAAAATGGCAGCCGAAGCTTTGACGTCATACGTGGAGCGCAGTGGTTGGTCAAAAGGCAAAATCCGGGTTCTCGACGTTGGAGCAGGCACTGGATTCGTTGCCATCCAGGCATGTGGATATTTACTTAATAAGATTTGAAAAATGATCGAATTTTCAAATATATTAATTAATATTCATTTATCCGAAGTGCGAGTTTTTCTAATTTTCCTTGTTAGTGTAAGCATGTCTGCGGCACCTTACATAAATTTCCTAAAGCGTCCAAAAGGACTTCCTAAGGGACCTTTTATATTGGTCAGAAACACTCTACGTTTCGAGTAGGACATGCATGTCCAAAAGGATGTTCGATAGAATCCATAAATGATTCCACAGAGTCCTGTAAGATTGAAGATGAATCCCACAGAGCCCTATAGAACGTCCTATAGGAAAGGGTGTAGCAGTACCCAGTCGTCAGGGATAAAAACCGTTCAGAACTTTAATACCCTTGAAAATCAAATGTATCCTTGCCATGTTCTGTAAGAATCCATTAAGATAGATACAGTTATACAAGTCTGTTTGCGTTATTTACCATACTAAAGCAACAAAATGTAATTCCATTTGCAAGATAATTGCTCTGTCCATTATATTCACGCGTACCGTGTGTTTGTAACTGGTACGACCATCACTCACAATTTATCATTCATAAAGTTTTTTGTTTAAACAGCTTGCAAATCGAGGATTTAAAAGAATGGACGCCCTTGATCCGTCGGAGGGAATGCTGGAGAAGGCAAAGACGCGAGGAGTTTACGAAAACTTCATTCAGGAATTTTTGACGCCAGATCCCACCCCGGGTATAGCCAATGGTAGGCTGCGTTCATACCTAAACACTTACATTGTACTACGTCTAATACTTGCACCTTGCTTATGCTGTCTTTGTTGAATATATTTTATACAAATGAATACGCATGTCTGTTGTTAATAACATATTAATTGTGTCTAAGTTTTAAAGTGTTTGCTAGTACCGTTTAGAATGAAAACCACCCGTCTCCACTACCATGATGAAATTGATTGAGAAATTGAAAAGCAGAACTCAAAAAACGCGTTTAGAAATCGTAATTTTGCCAACATGCATTCTTTGCATATTTTTATTCAAATTGTCATAACATGTAGCATAGGGGTATTTTAGTTTGTTCCACTTGCATACGTTTATATGCCGAGAAACATCTGGAAAGCACCTAAATACCCACGACCCCAGAGTCTTTCGCCAAAATGAAAAAAAAAGAAGCCAAATGGTACGGTTTTCCCATCACTGAATATAAACAACACCTTTATCTTGGTTTCTGCAATTTTTACAGACACGTACGACGCTGTGGTGTCTTCGGGCGGTATGGGAGAGGGCCACATCCCGTGTGGCGCCTTGAGAGAGATGGTCCGAGTAGTCAAACCAGGTAAGATATGAGTAAATAGGGGCCTGCTGCGAATAACGAGAATTCACGAAACAGTTACACGCCGTGGCACTGCCACAACTTATGTTTAGAATTTTATTTTAATGTGTTAAATTAGTGAAATTATACTGAAAGAAAAATGTTTTTTAAGAATAAGAAATTAAAAACCAAATTCACAAAGCTGTGACGCTGCCACAATCTATGTTTATAGGACCTTAGGGCTGGAGGGTCCATACATTTATGTATTAATATTAGTTTGTTCGTCTACATCCCGCAACGCCCCTAATTGCAAATGTTTACGTCTCCGCGCCGTTTCTCTTAATTTATATTTTAAGGCGACATACAAATAATAATTCTTGATAAAAAAATCTTATCCTTTAGGCCTAGGCTTATTAAATATAAATCTCGGCATCCCTCGGCGCGCGCCCGTCTTTTCTTTTAAACATTTTATCATTTTATTGATAAGCATATACAATATTTTATGTATTTCAGGTGGACTTGTGGTAATAGCGATGAGGGAAGAATATCTTCGCTGTACCAGTGGTTACGAAAATCTAGAGCCCACTATGGCCGCCATGGAGAACGAGGAACTCTGGGAACGTCTGGAGAGAAGTGTACTTCCGGGATATTGCTACCATAAAGATGGACTAGTTTACGTGTTTAGAAAAAAATGATAAGGAAAGGGATATTTTGTTTGATCTTTGATGCAATAATGTCAATTAATAAAATAAAATAATAATAATAATCCACATTTTTATTCTAAGAGTTTGGACTTATTTTTAGGCTAAACATATTTTGTAAACCCGGCCCGTAGAGTTTTTGTCTACTACAGCATATTAAATCCGTTATAGTGCAATACATTAAAAACAAAATATCAGTCTAAAACAGCATCCATCTTCAAAAAAAAAATAAATAAATAAAATAAAATAAATAAATTCTTTTCTTTATCATAAAACATGCAGTACGCAACATCAAACTTAAAGAAACTACTATCAGATTACCTTGGACCAAAATTGCCCTTCATTTTAAGGTATACTATCCACGTTAAATAATGGGCCGCAGCCACATTTTGAATGTCTACATATCCTGAAAAGCTACTTGTCATTCCTTAATCAAACGATAAAACACCTCAAATAAAAATGTCTGGTGCTCACATTTTTTCAAAAAAATGTACCGGAAGGCATGGCGGTGTAAAATAACTTGTCAGCCATTTAGAACTTTATTTTCAAGTGGAAATGGAAAAAACATTGAATCCAAGTCCAGGGACGGGCTGACCAATGATTCGTGAGTCGGGGAATGTAAATAGATATATTTTTTGAACGTTGGACTTGAAGAAAAACATACAGTTTAGGAAACCTTTAGTTATTACTAGTGTTCTACTTATGTAAAATGTTAGGACCTATTTCTGGGCCATGATTAGGTTTCGTTGTGCACTGTTACGCATACATGTAAGAAACGTGATATACAATAACTGGTAGAATTCTGGACGCATTGTGTGTAAGTACAGTACATTAAAAAACTCACATACATTCCATATGCTGCTTCTTTACATTGACAGTGAATGAGTTAAAGAGTGGGACTTCAGGTATAAAAAGACTCACATCCCCCCCCCCCCCCGGGGAGCATACATTTTTGTACAATCCAAGCATTTTAAAAACCGACCCTACCACGGCCAGATCTTTACCCTTAAGTCCTTGATTTACCGAGTTCTTAGCTAGGAGACAGCAGGCACAGTTTTTGTAACGGTATTTAGCCGTACGTGGGAAAGTAATTAGCCAAGCTACAATCTCCTGCACCAAAGGCGAGCACTCTACCGTTAAGCTGTCTATCTATCTGGGCGGACGGTATGAGGCTTGCAACCAAGCGTCTACCTCCAAAAAATCAAACTTATTTTCAAAACCAGTCGTTTATTAAGGTACATGTAAGCCCTCCGCTGTGCCCTGATAAACCCCAATTAAAAATTCATTAGGGAACACGCTTGCTTCAGAAAACAATTATATAGTATTTTTGTGGTTAAATTACATGCAAATATCTGCTTATGCTGGTATTGCTGTATAATGCGCTCTCTCAAGGATCACGGCCCTCGCTTCTTACATAGTACCTGCTTAAAATGAAAATAAGAATATTTCCCTATAAATTATCTCTTTGTGGTTACATCATCATCATACATCACCATATCTGATACAAAAACATTATTTAAAATGCCTTTCTTGTGCTACATGCTCATGGTCTTCGATTAGTACGTGACTTCAGCTTGAAATAATTAAGCAGCAGTACATTCATCCGAAAAATGTTTTATGAACTGTTTTAACAATTTAAAAATTTAAAAATTATTTATGATACAAGGCTGTGAGACCTATAGAGACCGAACTTGTTGTCCCAGCCTTACTTAGATTCTTTATAATACACAGTTATAAGAGGGAAGGTCAACTGCAAAAAAAAATCTGAAAATAATTCTCGACTATATCTCGGTTAATTCAGCCAAGACCTCTAAAATGCTGAAAGTCGAAGACAGAGTCATACATGTAACCTTCTTGGCAATAAGAGAATAGTGAATTAGCTTGCGTATTATAATAATTGTTGAACACGAAAGTTTATTCTAATTTTTACGAGTGTGAGTTGGATCTACGTACACTGATAGTGTCTATTGGAATGGGGCCCTCCGTGTTTTACCGATAAACCAAATACGATAATTTCTCACATATTTCAAACAGCTTAGGATTTACTGAATACATTAAATTTATGAGATCCTTTTATTGTCCAAGCGATTGATAAAAACGAATTTTCCAATTTAATAGTTGAGAATGATAAGCAAAATCTTACTGTTTGTATAAATCTAGTGAGAAATTAATTTTTTATTAGTAGTGTCCTAGACGAGTATGGCACAATTAAATTTTTGTCACATAGGTATTGCAAAAATGTCTCTTAATTTACAGCTTTAAAACCACTCATTTCATATAGAAACGAACCATTTAACTGATAAATAAATACAACGAAGTACATACTTATGCATATTATCCGGTGGGCATGACAATAAAATGTATTTCTTTAATTTAAACAATTAAAAAACATTTAAAGAATGGGACACGTCAATTCTTCAAAGTTAATTGCTATACAACAAAAAACAATTTTACCTTAAATCAGGTATTGCACTGATGACTCAACACTGTACATTTTTCGCGTTGGACATGTCAGAAACAGCAATCTCTACTAGAAGATACATGTACATGTATATATATAGCTACTCAATACTAAACATCATGAAAACATTGAAAATGCAGCAATTCTATAATGAATATCCCTTTCTTTCTGGGTGGCCATCTTTCATTTCACTTTGGTTTCTCTGCAACCTCAGAGTACTCAAGTGAACATTTTGCTTCTTGCTTTTCACCATTTTCTGTATTAAAGTTTTTCTCTTTTTTTTTGTGAACTCAGAGTTTCAGAGACTCAGAGACAACATTCTACTTCTTGCGTTACTCCATTTCCTATTTCTTATATTTTTAATTAATTAATTTATTTATTTTGTGTATGTGTGTGTGTCTGTGTGTGTGTGTGTGCATGCGTGCGAACTCAAAGAATTTTTTCTGGATGGCTGTCTTGAAAGTTTTTTTTTTTGTAAACTAAAAAGTACCAGAATCAGCATCCTGCTTCTTGCTTTACTCCATTTTCTAAAAGGCTGTCTTTGGTTTCTCTGTGGCCCCAGAGTACCAGAGTAAAAAACTCCACTTCTTGCATTACTCCATTTCTTAAAGTTTGTTATTTATTTTTTGTGAACTCAAACAGTACCAGAGTGAACATTCTGCTTCTTGCTTTACTCCATTTTCTGGGCAGCTGTCTTTGGTTTCTCTGTGGTCTCAGAATACCAAAGTCCCCCCAGAAGTATGGCATGGCACACATGGAGGGCTGCACTGCTGAATACTGTGGAGGGATACGTGTTCCAGCAGAGTTCTATGACACCCAAGATTAACAACCTGGAAAAATCGATGACAAACTATGGTTACACGATCATTCCCCATACTTCTCAGTGCTGTGTACAATAATAAAGTATACCATCTGGAATTATCAATTACGTATTGAGAGAAATACAGATATACTGCGTGAGTGTGAGTTAACTAATGAAATAATTTTGACACTCTTTGTTTGGCAAGTTGAAAACAATTAAATAATGAAAATAAAAAAAAGATCAATTATTCAACTGCACGGGATCCTAGAAAGTGAAAAATATATCTTGACAGGGCCTTGATATTATTATGCTCTTGTATGCCCAAAACAGTGGACATCTTTTGCTGTACTTAGTATGCAACAGCAAGTCATTAAATAAAGAAGACAACTGGACTCACCTGTACTTGACAGACATCTGTGTTGACCAGAGCAGATAGTGGAGTGTATGGAAGTACCAGACATAGAACTGGTAATGGAGAGACCTGCTGAAACACATGCCTATGAAATTAGCAGCGAACAGAGGCAGGACAATCTGTGGGGAATGGTTAAGGATATAGAGCACTGGAAGATTATCCTTATCTATATATGCCATTTAAGTTAAAGCTATAAACACACTTTTATTTTTAGGCGTCTTTTTCATGCCTGTTCATGTTTTTTTTTTAAATTACTAGTCAAATTTTCATTTTATATATGTCTCTTTATCATTCTTTCTCTCTAATTTTTCACCTATAAAAAATGAGAAATTTAAATATGCAGCACTTATCACATATTCTATGTTAATACTCTTGGAAATCAAACAATCAATCAGGTTGTGCTACATTCGTAACATGGATAATATCACAGCGACTTATCTATATAGCGTTAATTAAGTTATTATAGATATCAATAAAGAATGTAATTTATCCCCAAAAAGGATATGGTTGCTGTTTAGGACAGGATGTATTGGTGATCTTGAGAGTAAAGATGAGGCACCACCATATGACCTGAAATAAGATGCATTAAAAAAATTATATCATAATATTTCAATTAAAATAAGCTTTATATCTATCTGTTATTCATTTAATCTTATGATATCTCCATTTACACAGCTGAAATAGGAAATCAGTACCTCTTTACAGTGGAGAAAACTGAAATCTAACTTTAAAGTGTTTTTGTCTAAAAAAATTCAATTTCTACAATGTTGCTTGCAAAATTAACAAAACCTTCCATAGTGCTTGTTTTCTAAAGGTGTAACAAAATTAATTTAAATTTTGGAAAGCATTTCATGTTTACCTGCTCCATCTTTTGGACAGGAATGTTACCAAGGCAACAATGTGCAGGAGCAACAGCACCAGGTGAAAATATCTATTCAAGAAGAGCTCCTCTGGAAGAAACCTCCAATTGACTGTCCATTTGTAGAAGAACTGCCGTCCTAGGTCAAATGATCTGACAATGTAACCAACAGGGTTGGCAGCTAAGAAAGGCAGAGCTAGCACCAGCTGAAAGAATCACAGCAATACATTATTTTAAAAAAGTACAAGTAGTTTTAATTGAGGCGTTCCTAGTAGAGAAGGCCAGACGACATGGTCACTTATAGGCTCACTACAGTATATTTTACCATCATTTCTACTTGTCGATGAGTTTCAGGGGTGACCAAGTCAACAGAGAAGCTGTATATAACAGTCATAAAGGAAAGGTTCTCCGACTCATTAAATTCTCTTTCAGTAGCAATACATTGTTATTTATGACTTAAATAATAATGATAAAATTGAGGAGTGTTGTACAATTTTAAACTTTATAGGCCCATTATTTTTTATTCAGTTCTTAATTTAAATACAGGTTTTTAATTCACACAGTAATAGCCATGAAGTCCTGCAGATATGTAAGAAAAACAAGCTATACACATTCATAAATAATTGTCAAGAAACCTTTAAGCAAATTTATGGCATATTAATGACCTTCTATCCCTTCATTAAAAACAGCTGACTTTTTTAAGAGGACAACATAACGAGACCATAAAGAATGTATGTCATCACTCAGCCACTTGAATTATACATTTTCTTATCACAGTACCTGAAGGACAATGCAGCTTGTGTAATTTTTTATTAGTTTTACAGGTGAAAATAAATTTTCTAGAACTATACTTACCTGTACTGTAGCACAAATGACAAGATGATATACTGTTTTCAGCCATCCCTGAGAGACAAGGAGCAACATCAGCAGGGCTGGGGAGAACAGTAAAACATTCATCTTCACAGATACTGCAAGACTGCAAGAAGGAAAAAGAAACACTCTTCATAATAAATTTGTCACTTACTATGTGTAATCCACATAAAATGAAACCTTGGAAACTTTTTTAAATTCTTGTTTTTCCATTAAAAGCTTAAGTGTAACATGCTAAAACATAGCACACTAATGATAGCATATAACTTTTATTTGAGCTTATTATACCTTCACTTTTAAAGTTTAAATGGAAAAACAATGGAAAAAACTGAAATCTAATGTAACTTTTTTCAGTGTCTTTTTACAATATTTAATGAGTTTATCTAAAACATTTATTATGTTAACCAATTTATAGAAAACATTTTACTTAGTAATCCAAATGTATGACTGTTTTGCACTTTCATCCACTTGATGAATAATCAGTTATTTGTGAAAAACAAAAATGATAGTGCTGGTGTGACATGAGCCTTTAACACACTTGTAAACAACTGCAGGTGTACTGTTTTAATTAATCAACTACATTTATGCAGTATGAAAAATGTAAAAATATGGAACTTGTTGGGTATGACAATAACATGTGAAAATGTGAAAGCATTATTTGATTTCTTTTAAATAACAAATGTACTACATAATTTCTTTTAAATGTGAAATGTGTTAGGTGTGACAACAGGTAGAGATAAAGCACAATGTAATCTGCCATTACCTATAAACCAGACAGCCCCAGGCCCAGTGGTTGTAAATAAATAGGTTGACTGCCAGGTAAAGTAAGCACATGGCCACAGGGTCATTGAACATCCTCAGGACATAAATGGAGTGGATTCTGTAGGACGCACAACACATGAAGAAGAACACGTATGGTGGGACCTAGAAATATAAATTTAACAATATAATATTTGAAATTGTAGAACCCAGTGATTTTATTTAACTGGTATGGTTTTAGCTTATACGTGGTTCTGATTACTATTCCAAGAGGGCAATTCATGTCTCTACATTTATTTTATAAGAACTTATAATAATTCATGTTTTAATCCAAAAGTATGTGTTAGATGTATCTTTAAGTTATCCTTTTCCATTTTTTCTTTTATTTTCATTAACAACCTGTATATTTATAGCCTTTTCAAGAATACAAAGCAATATATGAGTTAAACATAAAATAAGTGCCACTTTGAACATGCATCTAAGCATACTAACCTTACAAGTTTTTCTATATATGTTAAAAACTAAGAGCAGATTTCCGCAGTACAATGCTGCAAATAGATATTGCCCCAGGCGAATATTTGCACCCAGGCTGGTAATGTAGTACAATGCTGTGAAAATGTACACAAACCCAGCAGGATAGCTGAAGGAAAACAGGAAAGAAATATAACTGTACACACTTAAATGAAATGGTGCCACTTGTACCGTTGATCTCTTCTACTTTTACCAGCTGTATGGGGTACATGGGACTTTTCAAAGAAACCTTACTCTGACAAGTAATTTAAAAGTAATTACACTTGGCTAATAGAGTCTTTTCCACGGTCACGTGACTTCCGCTAAATTATCCATGAGAACGCGAGATTTTGCGGGATTTGAAGTTTCAGGGGGAAATTNGTACTGTTTTAATTAATCAACTACATGTATGCAGCATGAAAAATGTAAAAATATGGAACTTGTTGGGTATGACAATAACATGTGAAAATGTGAAAGCATTATTTGATTTCTTTTAAATAACAAATGTACTACATGATTTCTTTTAAATGTGAAATGTGTTAGGTGTGACAACAGGTAGAGATAAAGCACAATGTAATCTGCCATTACCTATAAACCAGACAGCCCCAGGCCCAGTGGTTGTAAATAAATAGGTTGACTGCCAGGTAAAGTAAGCACATGGCCACAGGGTCATTGAACATCCTCAGGACATAAATGGAGTGGATTCTGTAGGACGCACAACACATGAAGAAGAACACGTATGGTGGGACCTAGAAATATAAATTTAACAATATAATATTTGAAATTGTAGAACCCAGTGATTTTATTAAACTGGTATGGTTTTAGCTTATACGTGGTTCTGATTACTATTCCAAGAGGGCAATTCATGTCTCTACATTTATTTTATAAGAACTTATAATAATTCATGTTTTAATCCAAAAGTATGTGTTAGATGTATCTTTAAGTTATCCTTTTCCATTTTTTCTTTTATTTTCATTAACAACCTGTATATTTATAGCCTTTTCAAGAATACAAAGCAATATATGAGTTAAACATAAAATAAGTGCCACTTTGAACATGCATCTAAGCATACTAACCTTACAAGTTTTTCTATATATGTTAAAAACTAAGAGCAGATTTCCGCAGTACAATGCTGCAAATAGATACTGCCCCAGGCGAATATTTGCACCCAGGCTGGTAATGTAGTACAATGCTGTGAAAATGTACACAAACCCAGCAGGATAGCTGAAGGAAAACAGGAAAGAAATATAACTGTACACACTTAAATGAAATGGTGCCACTTGTACCGTTGATCTCTTCTACTTTTACCAGCTGTATGGGGTACATGGGACTTTTCAAAGAAACCTTACTCTGACAAGTAATTTAAAAGTAATTACACTTGGCTAATTGTATGAGATATTGAACATTATATAATACAGTAACTGTAAATTAAAATACTATATCATAATGCAGAGAAAAAGAGAGAAATTGTGACATTTTAAGTAAACAGGACTGTGTGTTTTACCCTTGACAAACTTCAGGAGATTTAAAACATTTTATACTGTATGTCAAAAATATAAATTTATTGAGAGAGAGAGAGAGAGAGAGAGAGAGAGAGAGATGGAAATTGTAGAGGTTGCATTATAAATACACTAGTGGTCCTGTGTCTCCTTTTAGTTGCATGTAGTCATACGTTCCATTAATGACACCTTCCACTTCCTGCATGTAAGCCACCCAGTCAATTTCTGTGTCTGCAATGGAAACTCTAAATGCTTCAGTCATTTACATAGTCACCCTATTTCGAATAACCTTAATGGTGATGGTATTTGTATCCTAATAATCAATCAATTTAAGATTATGAAAAACAGAAAATTTTGAGTTCTGTTTCAGAATGTACATATTTAAATAACACCTAAATAAATTCAGAAAGAAGCGTAATAATAATGTGGAAGAAAAAGAGAGATCGAGAGAGAGAGAGTGGCATGTGGCACAATCATTTTGAGAGTATAAAATAGCTAAGGCAAATACAAGAATGCACTGATGATTATGCTTAGCTTCTGTACANCCTGAGAAACAGTCCCGCACAAAATGACGCGAACTGCGCATGCTCACGATTTCGTGGAAAAGACTCTATTGTATGAGATATTGAACATTATATAATACAGTAACTGTAAATTAAAATACTATATCATAATGCAGAGAAAAAGAGAGAAATTGTGACATTTTAAGTAAACAGGGCTGTGTGTTTTACCCTTGACAAACTTCAGGAGATTTAAAACATTTTATACTGTATGTCAAAAATATAAATTTATTGAGAGAGAGAGAGAGAGAGAGAGAGAGAGAGATGGAAATTGTAGAGGTTGCATTATAAATACACTAGTGGTCCTGTGTCTCCTTTCAGTTGCATGTAGTCATACGTTCCATTAATGACACCTTCCACTTCCTGCATGTAAGCCACCCAGTCAATTTCTGTGTCTGCAATGGAAACTCTAAATGCTTCAGTCATTTACATAGTCACCCTATTTCGAATAACCTTAATGGTGATGGTACTTGTATCCTAATAATCAATCAATTTAAGATTATGAAAAACAGAAAATTTTGAGTTCTGTTTCAGAATGTACATATTTAAATAACACCTAAATAAATTCAGAAAGAAGCGTAATAATAATGTGGAAGAAAAAGAGAGATCGAGAGAGAGAGAGTGGCATGTGGCACAATCATTTTGAGAGTATAAAATAGCTAAGGCAAATACAAGAATGCACTGATGATTATGCTTAGCTTCTGTACGATGTGAAGTGCTTTGTTCAAGATTTCAGCAGATTTCAGACACCATCAGCACAAGGGTGTACCTGTACTTTCCACGTAAGCAGATATAATACCCAGCCATACTCACATTTAACTTTATGTATTACAAATATGTTTACAACAATCTCCGACATAAACAAAAATAGCATCGCAGCAAATGAATACTGTGGGTCAAATATAAACGGAGAATATGTTTCAAACGTAAAGAAATCTTTAACTTTCCATCGCTGCTGACGGAGCGGCGCCCGTCTCCTGGGCGCAGCCATGTTGGATAACGCGGACGAGAAGAAAACGAGATCAAAACAAGCATGGCGATCGATGTAAAGGATTTTCTTAAAATCCTTGTATTTATTGTGTTTTCTTCCGTTGTTGCTATTGTCGGTGAGGATTTAGTGGTGGAAACCAAAAAGACATGTACATATTATGGTAAGCTATGCAACCACATCAGTTTTTTAAAAACACTGCGCACTGGAATATCATTTTGAGCTGTGCAGGAAACTTTCTAAGCTTAATTTGGACTTAATTTTAACTGTGATTTAGGGGGCGTTTTCAATGAAAGTATCGTACTTGGGGGGATTAACTTTCGTGTGCATTTGGTGGCACTCAAAATGAAGTGAAAAAGTTTCCAGATGCACAGCACACTTGAAAGTTAACCCCTAGTTTGTCAAGGAGGCGTGTCATTCAGTTAGTCTGATTGTACTCAGCAAGAGTCCCAGCGGACTTGAATTGATCTGCCTACTAAAAGTATGATAGTTTCATTGAAAACACACCCTTATCAAGAGTATTAAAATCAATTTCAGGTGGCACCCATGTCCCGTCTCCAGAGAACGGCCTGGTGAACTGCTCTTGGTACTCCACCAATGCCTGCTGTAAAAGAACTGAGGTGACCTCCGTGTTTGGTGGGATGTACAAACTGGCTCGGGCCAGCAAGAAGTGCCAGAATAGAGTGAATTATCTCATGTGTTACTTCTGTAGCCCCGAGCAGCACCTGTGGTATCAGGAGTAAGTCGTTTCTCAGTGTGTAATATTCTAGATTTATATAAATGATCTCAAGAATTTCATACTATTAATGATACATCACAAGGTGTGTGTGATAAATACGAATACTAGTGTGGGGCTTCGTCACTTTTTCCTCTATTTTTGCCTTGCAATGGGTAAAGCCACATTCCACCCCGTTATATATACTAGTACTCTAGGCTACATAAATATCCATGGCCTGGCAACACTGTGTCCTCCGTAGCACCTTGCAGCATGTCATTTGCAATTAAATTCTTAAGAGTTTCATTCTTTGTTTTAGCCAACTCCATGTGTGTGCCGACTTCTGTGACTCCATCCACTTTTACTGCAAGACTGCCATGTTTTCTGGGGAGAAAATAGGTAAGGAAATCTTTAAATTTTTGTTTTATTCACATTAAATAAAAAGAAATTACCGTTTGTCATGGTTTTGGCAAAAAGGCAGCCAGAACACCAGCTTTTCTGCATTCCACTCAATGTCAAGAGGAGGTGTGTTTACCTGTTAAGCTGGTTGTATTTAGCGAGAGTTGCTGCAGAGTTGGAAAAAACTGTAGAATGATTGTCATTGGGAGATAGCCCTTTGCATGTAAGCTGCATGCATCTTGGTGATACTTTTTCTTTGGTCTTTGGAATAATTTTTTACTATTAAAATATGCATTTGTAACAGTATTTTTTTAATACCACGTAGATTTGATTTCACTATATGGTATGTACATTTTTTTTGCCATATCTTTTACACTACCATGGTTGTTTTAGATTCTTCACAACTGCTTTTCTTGTCAATTAACATAAATATTGAAATGTATTTCAGTGTTTTTTTTTCTTTTGAAATGCAGGTACATCTTATAAAAACGGCAAAGAAATCTGCGAAGGACAAAAGTTCAAGTATGTGGAAAGTAACACAAACTGCTTCAAATTTGACCCCACAGTGTTTGACACTGGGTGCTCTCTGAAATCCTCATTGATAACTCTGCTGCTGGTTCTGGGAATATCCATATGGATTGTCCACTGATGATGACTGCAATGTTTAGTGCATTAGAAAATTTAGTCCAAGAGGGAAGCTTTAAACCCATCATAGTCACTGTACCTGTGCCATACTTTCATAGTCAGTTTTAAGTAACTTGGTAAAAACTGTGGAAGGGTGGAAACCAGGCTGGACTGTAGGTCTCAATGGCCATGTATCTCACAATGAAGACCAACAGCTGTTAATGAAGACCAACAGCTGCCATGTGGTCCTGCAGATCTGGGGACTTTTATCAAAAAGTCGTAAATCAGTGTTTTGGGCTGAAATCTTAGCAGACTAACACTTGGTCAACTAAGAAGCATCTCATGAAAATATTAGGTCTATTCACCTTGATTTTTTTTCAACTAAGCCCCAGATTATATTAAAATGTAAAAGAAATATAGAAATGGGGACTTTAAGAAGTATGAGTAGGAATCTGAAAACATACTTTTAAGTAAAGTATACTTAAAAGTATGTACATTAGCATGCATGACTCATCACCTCATAATAATGCTCACAGTCATTTATTAAAGATGTGTGCCTTTGTCGTGAACACATGGACCCTTGCTGTAGAGCTTTAAATATTTTAACTAATTTAAATTTAAAATTAAATTTTTGAACCAAATGGCTTTCAGTACAATAGCTCAGGAGTGACAGTTTGAGTTCTTTTTAGTAAGTGCCACACCTCTTAAGAGTGCTTTAACTGTAGCATTTCTGCATATATAAATACTAAAATCAACAACTTGAATCTTTAATGTGTGGTATTTATTCTAACAACTTTGTTGCAGCGTGCCATATTTGTAAGTCTGTTCAGCAGGACCCAACTAAAACTGAAATAGTCCAATTACAGGGACGGATCCAGAGAGATTTTCTGACAGTCCTCAAATTATCTTTGTTGATCCATCCTCCATTTTTGTATGTCTTCTGACAGAAAAATTAGATTCCCTTCGATGGAAACTTGAAAATCTGACCGTCTTTGGGAAGACCCAGAAGACTTCCTCAATATGCCCCTGAATTAATGGCCCACAGCATGTGGTTGTTCACCATCAGTTATAGAGGTCACTGGAAACTTACCTCAAGGTTGTGATAGGTCTGCCTCTGCCATTTCCAGAAACACCCTGTGTTTCAGAAGTCAATAGAAACTAACTTTTACCATGGGCAGGCTCTGCCAGTTCCAGAGACACCATGTGTTTCAGAAATCACCAGAAACTACCTTTTACCACGGGCAGGCCTCTGCTAGTTCCAGAGACACCATGTGTTTCAGAAATCACCAGAAACTACCTTTTACCACGGGCATACCTCTGCCATTTCCAGTACTCAGGCGCAACTGAAAGGCCTGGGTTACGACCCATTGGTGCAACCAGGCCCTGAGTATCAAATGTCACTGGAATCCAACCTAATCTTTAATCTGTGCACTGATATTAGACTATTTCTTGTTTAAGTTAGTTGGGTCTTGAAGGTGTTTAGTGCCTCAGGGATCTTCATATAATTTACACATTCCTGGTAATCTTGGAGGGTTCATCAGGGAAGAGAAGTCAAGTTTTTGTCATATGATATATTGCACATTTTTGTCAGAGAAGTGTATGTGTAATTCTGTGTTATATAAAAATTCAAAAATGTTCCTGTAAAATATCATTGGTTTCCGTTTTTATATCGCTCAGCACCGTCATTCCTGTTCATACAAATACGTATGTGTAGTTATAACTGGGTGTTTGTATGTAAGTTATTAGAATTATCATGTCCAGTCACTGTATAAGGCTAAATAGGTGTGATAAAATAAGATATTTCTTGTCTAGTGGCATGGTATATACATGTAAGATGCGCTCACCGCCCAACCTCCTTTTGCCCTTAACTAAAACGACATTTACAGAACGTCGTTTTCGCTGATATTTGGGCGTTCCGTTTTATGGATGTATTTATAAGTCGATTCTTTTGTAATTATTTGTCAAGGATACAAAACCATACAAATAGTACTTTTTTAAAGTTCATGTATATTTCTTAGGAGTTTTTTTATTGGTAGCTGTTCAATACTGTGCAACGTTTTCTCCAAGTGAAAATAAAATGATTTAGTGTAATACATGTATATTTCTGCCCTATAAACGTATTAATTTGCATTATATTTCGCAAAGCTATTTTTAATAACATCGTGAGGATTTGTTTCTTGTCCATGCCTCTTTCATTCAAAAGCCCACCATCTGTTTGTTTCCTGACGTGAATTGCATTTTAGTAATGTATTTATCAATTTATGTTCATGTTTGTTATAGAGTAAAGATGTCAAGTTGACCTCGCACATGCGCACTGACGGTCACGCGGGCAATGGATGCAGACGATATTTAAAAGGGATGATATCTCTTTATTTCGCCGGGAAAAAAGATCTTCATGGGGTAAACGGCAATTTCCCCAAACATACCAAAAATTCATGAACTAGTCCCGACATTCAAAGTTAGCCGTTTGTATTTTGAAAAGAGCATGTTTTTTGTACAAAATCTCTTTAAGCTCTCCGTATAAAACACGTGGATCTGTTGTAATCAAGAAGTACATGTAGGCCTACCTGTTATGTATCACGCAGCAAATGGATAGTTAAGCGACTTGTCTAAAACGTCCGTAAAGGTTACTCCAAAAATATAAACGGTTGTTTGCAAACCTACTTTCCTGTCCTCCATTTTTATATAATGTACTAGTAAAACCGTGGAATTTCTTAATAAAACAAAAAAAGAATGTTAACTATAGCCCTCTATCCATTATTTAAAGTGCGCTTGTGTCCCTCTTTCCCCTCATTTATTTAATCATAATCTAATCTTTTTAAAACATTTTTGATCCATTTATTCTGTGTATTCTGGTGCAGCTGTGATTGTCTTAGGCCTGACTTAACGTGAACTTTCTATCAACCCTTCCAACGCGATTTCAATCCCTATTTTATAAACCGGTTTTGTCTTGATTACCGCTTGATTTTCACTGTCTATTATGTCTTGTTACTGTAACTGAGCTAATCTGTTCACGAAGCATTCTGTGTTTGATGTTTTGCCAGAGACAAGCGGATGCAGACGACAGGACTGACTCGAATGTCANTTTTTTTTTAATACCACGTAGATTTGATTTCACTATATGGTATGTACATTTTTTTTGCCATATCTTTTACACTACCATGGTTGTTTTAGATTCTTCACAACTGCTTTTCTTGTCAATTAACATAAATATTGAAATGTATTTCAGTGTTTTTTTTTCTTTTGAAATGCAGGTACATCTTATAAAAACGGCAAAGAAATCTGTGAAGGACAAAAGTTCAAGTATGTGGAAAGTAACACAAACTGCTTCAAATTTGACCCCACAGTGTTTGACACTGGGTGCTCTCTGAAATCCTCATTGATAACTCTGCTGCTGGTTCTGGGAATATCCATATGGATTGTCCACTGATGATGACTGCAATGTTTAGTGCATTAGGAAATTTAGTCCAAGAGGGAAGCTTTAAACACATCATAGTCACTGTACCTGTGCCATACTTTCATAGTCAGTTTTAAGTAACTTCAGGTTGGTCAAAACTGTGGAAGGGTGGAAAGCAGGCTGGACTGTAGGTCTCAATGGCCATGTATCTCACAATGAAGACCAACAGCTGCCATGTGGTCCTGCAGATCTGGGGACTGTTATCAAAAAGTCTTAAATCAGTGTCTTGGGCGGAAATCTAAGCAGACTAACACTTGGTCAACTAAGAAGCATCTCATGAAAATATTAGGTCTATTCACCTTGATTTTTTTTCCACTAAGCCCCAGATTATATTAAAATGTAAAAGAAATATAGAAATGGGGACTTAAAGAAGTTTGAGTAGGAATCTGAAAACATACTTTTAAGTAAAGTATACTTAAAAGTATGTACAGTAGCATGCATGACTCATCACCTCATAATAATGCTCACAGTCATTTATTAAAGATGTGTGTCTTTGTTGTTAACACATGGACCCTCGCTGTAGAGCTTTAAATATTTTAACTAATTTAAATTTAAAATTAATTTTTTGAACCAAATGGCTTTTAGTACAATAGCTCAGGAGTGACAGTTTGAGTTCTTTTTAGTAAATGCCACACCTCTTAAGAGTGCTTTAACTGTAGCATTTCTGCATATATAAATACTAAAATCAACAACTTGAATCTTTAATGTGTGGTATTTATTCTAACAACCTTGCTGCAGCGTGGCATATTAGTAAGTCTGTTCAGCAGGACCCAACTAAAACTGAAATAGTCCAATTACAGGGACAGATCCAGAGAGATTTTCTGACAGTCCTCAAATTATCTTTGTTGATCCATCCTCCATTTTTGTATGTCTTCTGACAGAAAAATTAGATTCCCTTTGATGGAATCTTGAAAATCTGACCGTCTTTGGGAAGACCCAGACGACTTCCTCAATATGCCCCTGAATTAATGGCCCACAGCATGTGCTTGTTCACCATCAGTTATAGAGGTCACTGGAAACTTGCCTCAAGGTCGTAATAGGTCTGCCTCTGCCATTTCCAGAGACACCATGTGTTTCAGAGGTCACCAGAAACTAACTTTTACCATGAACATGCCTCTGCCAGTTCCAGAAACACCCTGTGTTTCAGAAGTCACCAGAAACTAACTTTTACCATGGGCATGCCTCTGCCATTTCCAGAAAAGCCCTGTGTTTCAGAAGTCACCAAAAACTAACTTTTACCATGGAAATTCCTCTGCTATTTCCACCCTGAGTATCAAATATCACTGGAAGCCAACCTTTATTTTTAATCTGTGCACTGATATAAGACTATTTCCAGTTTTAGTTGGGTCTTGAATGTGTTTAGTGCCTCAGGGATCTTCATATAATTAACACATTCCTGGTAATCTTGGAGGCTTCATCAGGGAAGAGAAGTCCAGTTTTTGTCATATGATATACTGCACATTTTTGTCAGAGTAGTGTATGTGCAATTCTGTGTTATATAAAAATTCAAAAATATTCCTGTAAAATATCATTGCTTTCCTTTTTATATCGCTCAGCACCGTCATTCCTGTTCATGCAAAAATATGTATGTGTAGTTATAATTGCGTGTTTGTATATACTGGTAAGTTAATAGAATTATCATGTACAGTTAGTGTATAAGGCTAAATAAGTGATAAAGTAATGTCTTTTTTCTTGTCCAGAGCCAAGGTAGATAAGATTCACTCACCGCCCAATTTCCTTTTGCATTTAACAAAAATGGTTTTTACAGGACGTCGTTTTCGCTGATATTTAGGCGTTCCGTTTTATGGGTGTATTTATAAGTCGATTCTTTTGTAATTATTTTTCAAGGATGCAAAACCATACAAATTGTTCTATTTTAAAGTTCATGCATATTTCTTAGGAGTTTTTTTATTGGTAGCTGTTCAATACTGTGCAACGTTTTCTCCAAGTGAAAATAAAATGATTTAGTGTAATACATGTACATGTACATTTCTGCCCTATAAACGTATTAATTTGCGATCTGACACACACCTTGAAAGCGGGTAGTGTGGTCCGATATACTGGTTAATTCAGGATCCTTATGTGCCGAGTCTGGTAGTTGGGTAGGCCTGTTTTTAAAATATTTATTTTTGATCCATTTATTCGTCTTTGTGTTCTCGTGCAACTGTATATTTGTGATTGTCTTAGGCCTGACTTAACGTGCACTTTCAATCAACCCTTCCAACGCGATGTCAATCCCTATTTTATAAACCGGTTTTGTCTTGATTACCGCTTGATTTTCACTGTCTATTATGTTTGTTACTGTAATTGAGCTAATCTGTTCACGAAGCATTCTGTGTTTGATGTTTTGCCAGAGACAAGCGGATGCAGACGACAGGACTGACTCGAATGTCATTTTTTTTCCTTTTTATTTCAAAACATTTCGAGGAAAGCTATTTTTATATCTGCCCCTGGAAGTCATTTATTTACAAATAACTGAAGAACGAAACTAAATTCTTGGCAGACATGCAAAAGCGACAAGGTCTTTAAGCATTATTAAGGCCTATAAGCATCTGCAAGCGTGTGATGAAATTCAAGGGCCAATAAGGCATTGGTGTAAGAAAATAGAGCCCTTTAAATAACACTTTAAAAAGATCCTGTTTGCTTGTTTTTAACTCCGAAATCAAACGTAAACAGGATCTACCACTCCTGTCATATTATGACAATTTTTCCTGGCGGCTGCCGAGGACGGTTAAATGATTCTCATGCGCCTCGTGTGTCATCGCAGCTCGGCTGCTCAAACCGGATATTAACACCGGGTATTTAAACTAAAATCCAATCCACTTTCACAAACGCCGTTCTGCTGTTCTGAGTAAAATGGGGTTCGTGGCCAAACTTTGCATGTTTCTCCTTGGTTATCAGTGCAGTTTTGATTTACACACAAGTCTTGGTAAGTGAATCGTTGGACGTTACTCGTATACTGCAGGTGTAGTAGAAGTAGATCAACACGTATTAATGTATATAAAGAACGTAATAATATCTTATATCATCATCGAACATTTGGAACGAGCTATAAGAAATGTGTCAGGCTGGGCAATTTTTTTAACCATTCAAAATGTTCAATTTAATGTAAATTGGGTGTATTGGTGCCTATGTTGTATTTAAAAAATGTTTAAGCAGATAAAAAAATTGCCTTGTTATGTCTAATTATAGGCCTATACATTACATGTAGGCCTACATACTAGTATATCTACTGGCAGAATAATTCCCAGTTTTGTTTTATACAGTTGATCACCTGTTGTAAAGTAGAAAATCATCATGAATTTGATTTCGCTTAAATTAAAGTCAGCTTGCTTATAGAGGATCAAGATGAGAACACGTATTCAACACGCAATTTGAAAACGAGGTAAATAAATGAAAAAAACAACATTCAGATCAACAACAACAGAAAAAGCACTGTTTGACAAAAGAGAACAAAAACATCTAATCAAAAAATGAACAGGTACAACTGAACCATGAAGGCGCGTTTGCACATAAGTTGGATTGATTCTGTTGATATTCCCGCCCAGCACTAACTCATTGCTGGGTGCGGCACGCGGTTTTATTCTGTTTTACAAAATAACATTAGCCAAGATTCTGGCCTCATCCATAAGTCCACAAACACGGTCTGCCTTGAAAAGGATAAAACAGTAGTAGTAGGAGGAGGAGGAGGAGGAGTTGTGATGCTGTTAGTGGTGGCGGTTGCGGCAGCAGGAGGAGGAGGAGGAGTAAATGAAATATGGCGCCTGTTTTATAACGTTAATTTGACCAGTGTTCCAGATCATACTTAAACCAATTGGACTATATACGAAATTCTCTTGAGCTAGTAGACCAATCTTATTTATTTATTTATTTATTTATTTATTTATTTATTTATTTATTATTATTATTTCTTTTTTTTGGCCTGAAAGGAAAGACCTATGTTCAGGCTTTGGCTGATGCATAGAAGGGTCGCACCGAAAAGGATCGGCTTATTTTGCATGCGAACACGCCTTCACAGTGATTTTTTTTTCCTTATTCACTGGTGAGCCTTTGTGGAAATCAACAGGTAGTGTACGTGTTTAGGAGAGAAAAAAGGCTTGGTGATGAGCTGGTTTAATGCGTTATATGACTGCGGCATATGACAGCTGGTTGTTACACTGTCCTTACGACAATACTTTTATTAAACAATATAGAAAGCATTTTTTTCAATTTGCACTTAATATCCTGAAGCAGGTCTTTATCTCCATTGTGCATTGTTTGCTGTATATTACCGACTTAAACATCGCGTGTTTCCCATATATATGTTTAATCGTAGCTGCACTACACAACTGAGATATGATAAATTGACATTACATGTCATTATTTAGTTATTTTTCTTTCAATTCCCCCTTGGCTCTGGTACAATAACCATATGCATAAAGTGTCTAGTTTCTTTAAGCAGGTGAACGTTATATTATATTATATTATATTACAGTTTTAGAACATTTTATTTTGTCTTATGCACCGCATGTGCTGGTGATAAATGAACATATGGTTATAAATAATAGTAAATAGGGCCATGTCAAGAGGTTACAATACAAAACACTTAACTACAACATGATAACTACTGTATACATGAGAGGATTATATCACTTCCTTTTACGCTTGAACCTGACCACTGTATTGACTTGCATACCGACAAATGAGGAAATGAAGCAAAATATTCAAAATTTTCCTTAACAAGTTAAGAGACCCCATGGGAACCTGCTGTGACATATTTATTAAGTAGTCATTATGCCTTTTTATGTGTCAGGCGCTCCTTAAGTAAGAATTAACACCACACGTCGTTATTAAGTTATTTTGTTTTTCATTTCTTCTAAAACGATAAACTTTTAAATCAACTACATGCAGTTAAAATAATCTCTATCAATGTTGTTTTGGTCACGTGACAGTTTCAAGAAGAAAATAGCATTTTATGTGAAATGAGGACATTGTCATGAAAATTAAAATAAGATAAGGAAATGAACCGAAATATTAAACATTTTCTTGCCAGGTTACATGCCCCACACAGGAACCTGCGGTGGAATTTTTGAATGGGTGCGCTATTATGCGTTTTTATACGTCAGTCACTTCTTATGTCAAAATAAACATTTAATTGGTATACTAGTAGCTCAGGTAAAGCTTGATAAAATTAATACAACAGTACTTGACCCTAATCATTGATATGCGGAATTAATTATTCTTCATATTAACATGTTAAAGATTTACCCAAAAACATTTTTCTTTTTATTTCCTTCAATTCTTTGCCATGGTGCTTCTTTTTATTTTAAGCTACAGATTGTGATATGCTACCAGTAGAAACCGCAAACATAAGTGTTAGAGCTATTTTCACACAGTTTCAATCAACTTATGTTTACAACGTCTTCATTTTAACGTTTTATTTTCAGTTACCCACCATGCGAAATTGAAAGGTGTTCGTTGGCTACTGTCTGAACGCACGGATAGCTGGGGCTGGGGGACCCGTAAGGAGGCGGAGGCGGTCATGGCTCTCCAGTTGGTAAACGACAAATGGTACAGGCCATCTAAACCTGGCCCGGCTGCCACCGTCAAGGAAATGAACCTTGACCTCCTGGCAGCTATTAGCAAGTAAGATACGTCACTGTTCAGATAAGTCGTTTTGACAATTCAATTACCCTTGAACGTGTTACAGATTGTACGTTTTCAAATCTCTTTATCATTAATGGCCTTATCACTCTGACCCTCACCTTCGGCTGGATCCGTGCTATCAGTAAACTCTCATTCAACTGATGGAGCAATTAATCAACTCAGTACATTTATGCATTTATTTATTACATTTTTACTGATTGTTATCTCATTCTGTCTTACTTTTTAATCAACGCCATTCAACAAACTTATTTCCAGATATCCAAAGCTGGACACTCAAGACTGGTATGGCGGGAAACTTGGCCAGTACGTCAACGCACTCGTGGCCACGTGCCAGGACCCCAGCGACTTCTACGGCCATAACCTGATAGACATACTAAGCGGCCACATGGACGGGTTCCCCAAGTACTACTTCAATCACAACTTCGCGTACAGTTGGGCCGTGCTTGCACTGTGTAATGCAGGGTTGACCGTACAGGAGAAATACATACAGCAATTGACCAAAACACCCGGGAACTACACGTTTGGGGTTGGTACGTTCAGCTTATGCCTTATATTCTGTTGATATTGATTGTTATGGACATTGATGGCCTTAAGTTGAATAAACTATACTATACATGAACACCATATTTTATATTGGTAAAACGCAGCACTGCACATTCGTTTGGGTATGTATTACGTCTGAGAGAACGTCCGAAGAAATGGTGTTTGAAGACTCATATCAATTCACCACATATAATATCTCTAAGAAGTAAAAGAGCTATTATAAAGATGCATCTACGTAGTTCTACTCGGATTAGATATTACTTCTTTATAGTACATGTAGATATTCATAGATGCATCTTTATAATAACTTATTTATTAAGAAATGGTGTTCCAACGATGTTATGAGAATATTTCAATGTGGCTGAAGCTAATGGGTGATGGAAATTTTGGTTTGACACCACTTTTGTCTACCTTTTGAACAACAAAAGTATTGCGTCTTATGAATATAGGCTTCTTTGTTCCCGCATATCTTAAAAGCAACTTAAAAGTGCTTAAATAACGAAGTAAGAAGTTCTTGAATTCGTCGCTTCAGCAGCATCATTTGGAAATTAATGATATACATGTAGGTATGGAAGGAATAATTGTAAACTTTATCGCTATTTCTGATATATTATTATACACATTATATATTATTTCATATATGTTTTTTCTATATCAAAGATGAAGCCGCTATGACGGTGATAGCGTTGTCTTGTGTGAGGAACCAAACTGACGTGAAGTCCGCCATTTCTGCTGGAGTGCAGTTTATCCTGGATAACAAGAAACCAGATGGTTCTTTTGGAAATGAATACACCACTGGGTTGGCTGTGCAGGTACCCCACCCCCCACTCCCAAGTAGTATTTCTCATAAAGAGAGAGTGACTGAGATTGTGTTAACAAGGTTGCATATGAATATTGTGATTAGGAAGAGGGCGAAGTTGGTGTTAAAACAAGCTGTCTTGACGGGACAAGTCTGACAACCATATTAACAGTTTTGCGACTGGAAGTTCTTTTTCACTCTTATCTACCATATTGGTCTTGTCGGCCATATTTGAAATAGGAATAAAAAGGCAAACACTCATTTTAATTTTATTTACAGTTTTAATCATTTTATGTATTGGCATGTAGGCTCTGATTGCTGACGATAAACAAACCCGGAGGAAGATTAAAAAAGAGGCACTTCTTCGACTGGTAGAGAAACAAGGTAAACGATTCCTTGTGATGAAAACAAAAAGTCAATGTACAGTCGTTAGTCAATATCAGGATGGCCTATACATATCCTAGGAAAGTAGCATATTGTTTAAAAACAAAAAGTTACAAAATAAAACCGTTTTACTTTAAACAGAGAACTATTCAGAATAATATCATTTGGGTCTTATTCCTATTTGTTTAATCTGAAAAGAATGGTACTGATATATAAATATCCTAGATTCATTACATGAAATGTATTTCAACATGTTTTTATAAAGGCCAGGATGGTTCCTATGACTCTGTGGCAGCAGCAAATCAGATCTTCCCGGCTCTAAACAGGAAATCGTATGCTGACATCGGATCTATCTCTTCCTGCCAACAAGGTGAGCACTGCAAACCATAATTTTGCCAAAATTGTTTTCCCTCAAAAAATTTGAGAAGGTTCCCGTGAATTTTCATAATTAGTGTAGATAAGCTATATTGTATATGTCAGTTTCGTTTTCGTTTTTTGCGTGCGTCCATTTACGGCAAAATTCTCTTCTTACTTAATTTTTAAACTTTTTCACATCTGTCACCAACCTATTATCCGGGCCAACACATCAATAACTGTACAGATATACCTGTACACCCAATGCAAGTCCTATTTCCTGTTCTCAAATCATTTAGGTGTATATTGTTAGAAAAAAAGAATTCTGAGTATGTTCTAATTTTGATTGCGTGCTTGGTTGCTTTTTCGTTGCCTTTTATTTAAAATACAATGTTTGATTTCTGCAGAAAAGTATATTTTGGCAATAGCAACATTGTACTGTATTTTAATACATATTTACTTTCCCTTTTAACAGTGACTACAACTCCTGCGCCGACCACGCCCCCAGCATCATTTTTCACTTTCAGAATCAACGTGATAGCGACGCTGGCGCCACACAACGTCAATGAGTCATTCACCGTGACGGTCCCAGATGGCTCCTCTCTGTTGGATGCTATGGTTGTCCTCCGGGATACGGATTCAAACTTTACGTACGTTTCTGTTGATATTTTGATACTTTTTTTTTTGCATTTTTGCTTCTTTTTTTGGATAACCATTTATTAGGATACTAGAATATGATTCGTGGTGATGCATTTATTTCTCATCTATCTAAAGTTGTCCTCCTTAGAAAAGTAAGACAAAAGAGCCGAATATTATCATTACACGTCACAGTTCCATTGACCTTACTTATAGGGTCTAGGTCTTCATCTACATATGTCATTTATCTTGAAAACACCACCTTTGGTTTCAAATCCTATTGGTATCGTTACCTCTGTGCCAGCATACCTAAGTTGTCTGTAATTATGAAGATCGCATACGGGCTAGGGGAGGGCCCAACATCTGAACTCTGAATTTTAGAATGATGAAACTTTGAAAGGAATAGATTGGATAGAGGAGAGTCAACATCTTAACTCATACATGGTGGTAAATATTAAATAAAGTGTTACACTTATATCTTCCAATTTATCTCATTCCTGAGCTATGTGGTTGCCTTCATTCATTCAGGTTCACAAGTAAAGAGTCGTCCTTCGGTACCTCTATCAGCAGCATCCAGGGGATAGCGTCCGACCCAGACGCTAGGACGTACTGGCGTTCTGCCGTGGCCCCTGATACTGCTCTCACTACAAGTAAGTCACGTGGTGCATAGTGCATGGATTTTTTGGGGTTCCATGATATGCATGTGTTTTTTACTGTTTGAAGTCGTCGATCCCTACATACACTATATATATATATATATATATATATATATATATATATATATATATATATATATATATATATATATCACGGAGAATTTAGTCGATTCACTTTGGAAAAGTGCTCTACCCATATAACTGGACCAATATAACTGGTCTTCTCTCTCTCTCTCTCTCTCTCTCTCTCTCTATATATATATATATATATATATATATATATATGGCATTTAGAGACAGGATTTAACTGCTGCTTACATTATTATTATTATTATTATCATTATTATTACGTTTATTTTCTTTCAGGCGTTGATGGCTTCTTCCCTACCGCGGGAATGACGGTGATTTTCAGCTTGTCGACTTACTGAGATCATTGCCACAGAATGGGGAATCAATTTCGACAAAGCCCATATGTCGTTAGAAGCTGTAAAATTGATCGTTAAGAATGAAGGAACAATACCTTTGAAATGCATGCGAAGATTTATTCAGAGTTGCAACTGATTTGTGCACATAGTATACTTCAATTATATTGACTCTCTATAGAAGTGTTACAAATAGTGAAAGAGATATTGGTAATGTATACACATTTATTTGTGATTTGCAAAAATGATTGTTGAAAAGTGCATGGCAATTTGAGAGATTTTATGTCAACCAAAGTTTTATAATCAGATCTCGTTAACATGACACATTCCGATCGAATAATGCAGTTTAAAACTTAAATTCAGTGCAAAAGTCAGTCCTGTTCAAAACTATAGCTTGCTGTTCTCATTAACGATGCACGTACCGTATATCAATGAAAAAATAACATGAAATTAACGATATATGAAATCGTTCTAACAAAGTGATGAATTCTCTCTGACATTTATGCTCATAATTATGTATAATGATATTTCCAATGGTGAATTTGCACCAGAAAAAAATAATAAAATCAGACAGCTGAAAAGCTTTGTTGTCTTCCCGTGTGCTTTTGTCAAACAATTGCAGGGACAGTGTTAATTTTTTTAAATCAAATTTGGTCGTTGGAGTAGAGAAAAATAAGCAGAAAAACAAGTAAACGGAGTTCACATTTAACATTGACAGATGCCACCAAACAACGAACCAAAATCATTTATATTCTGAAAAGTTTGGTGTTTTATCTAAATGTTTTGGGTATCTGGATAAAGTCCAGAAGGTTTATGAGCAGCTATTTTCTCCCTTCTTTTCTTAAGACAGCCTGAATTATTCATTTTTAACCCTAAATCACTACTCGTAAAAGACGAGCTTTATACAGCACCTATAGATCATAGGGTTAATACGGTACCTCGTGCAAATAAAATACAGGTCTCGTCAAGAAAATTTCTCAATTAAATTGCAAATGAAGCATTTTGTCTCATAAAATAACTCCTATTTGAATACTATTTAAGTGCTTAGTCAAGTTTATATCCAAAATAACAATTTTTTGTCGCTTGCATAATTATGGTCTGCCTCTCAAACCATTATCCAAACATGTTTTCGAACCAATTGTCTCCTTAGGGCTCATTCCCTATGAAACTATCGGTCTACGTAGATCGATCAAACTCCGCAGGGACTATCGCTGAATCCAACCAGATTAACGGATTAACATGCTTCTTCTTGTTAAAACTTACCACCAGTTCTTCTTTTAATCTATTTGCATTCAGCTAGAGTCCACTCGGAGTTGGATCGATATAAGTAAACCGATAGTTTCATCGAGAATGAGCCCTTACTTACAGCCATGGGCATACATCAACTGTACCTGCCATCTCTAATTCGCACAGGGTGCGGCGGACGTGGTATAAAGCGTATATAAAGACAGCACGAAGCCGTCTATCTCATAGCATAAGGATTTACAGAACAAGATGGGATTACTTAAGCTTGCTGCACTGGGTCTGCTGCTGTTGGCGTGTCAGTGTCACGGCTGTGACATAGATACTCATTACGGTAAAGTAGACTTTTGCAATTGTCTTTAGATAGATTTTGCGTAACGAATGAAAGAATTACACGCGCGCGTGCAAACGCACCCGCTCACAAACACGCACACCCATCCGATATCGCAACCAACGCTACCGGCGCAGGGGATCCGGAGTAAGATACTGGATAAAACAACTGCCGTTTTAAAAAGCGGATGATTTTCTGAAATTAAAGTTTTTTAAAAAGTATATAATAATGCTCTCTGTTGAATTACACATTTACTATGATATTGCTACATGTACACAACCGTCCGAACGGTATAAAAGTGGCTGCTTTCAGAAGCCAAATCTATAATAAAGAGAAAAAAGGATAAACAACTTGAAATGAATACAAAAATATGGTGATTGACACACATTGCGAAACGGACATTCTGATAATGCCGCGATTTAATCAGCACAAGATTAAATAGAATGTAAACTTATATGTGTAATGATTGAAGCGGTGGTTTTGCTATATAACAAATCTAACTAAACTGCGCCCGAACACTTGAAGTATGTGGCAAGTGAAAAAGGCTGGAAATGGTTGAACACATACTGCTGATCGTCGATCTCGTTTTAGACGATTCTAAACGGTTTTATTAGTTAAATGGAGCTGACCTATACAAAATCATTGACGTGCAATCCAAGAAGGAAGCTAATTCACAATGGCTTAATCGTTCTTAGGATTTTAGAGCCAATAAAAAACGGCTTTCAGTTAGAGTTTAGTTTTCTATACAGTGAATTTAGCTACGTTTATTATCTTTAAATCATTTTATTAGAATTGGAAAACAAGTAGACTACTTCATCGTGTAGGCTTCAGTCATGTAATTCAACCATAAGCATCTGATCTAATTTAGATTTGTTTCCGCAATTAATCAAAACAAGCACCTCTAGTACGTATAATCTCGTGACTTCGCACATCAAATAAAGTAACCAAAACTTGAATCGTTTACGTTGTTATGTTCAGTGAACTCTTGAATAAAAATATGGCTCTTAAATCTTTCGCCTTAACAAAACCTCTCAGCAGCGAATTAATATCCTCTACATGTTCCAGCGCCACAGAGATTTTTTTCACTTCATGCTCACAAATATGCCTATGTTTAATTCTGTGCACATATTGCAATGAGGATTTTTGTAAACAAACAGCCAATATAAAGATGGAGAGTATTGAATTAACTACAAATAGAGGAAATGAATAGAAATATGATTCTTTAATTTTTTTCTAATGATTTTTGTCAATCCATTTATTTATCTACTTGATGATTTATGTTTGTGTAATTCAACATTCTTTCTACCTGTCAACGAACTCACAGAAATACTACACGTCTTTTCAAACTGGCGTAAGTTCTTGAGATTATATTATCATTCTAGGCATTCAACAAGCTAAAGTAAAAGGCGTAATTTGGCTTTTGTCTCAGCGCACGGAGAGCTGGGGCTGGGGGACCCGTAAGGAGGCGGAGGCGGTCATGGCTCTCCAGTTGGTCCTTAATGTTTGGTACAAGCCATACCTACCAGGTCCTGCCGCCACCGTCAAGGAAATGAACCTTGACCTCTTGGCAGCTATTAGCAAGTAAGATGTTATCACCTGCATTTTTACTTTCAACCTACCATTACCTTTCACATAACACTTGTTTAATTTTTTTTTTCTTAATTCATCATTTGTTCTTCGTTTTAGCTACATCGAATTGTACAATGGGGACATGGAAGAAAATTGACTCTCTGAAGCTGAACACTTTGAAATGTAGTATTTCATATATTTAAGAAAGTCTTGTATTTTAAAGGTGTATGCGTGTGTTGACACATTATTTTACAATTTTGGGGGCCCATATAGGGCTTTTTATTTGCAAATTTTGTTTATTTAAAGTGGCGTCTTCATGAGACTCCCCTTCTTAAATTATTCATATATTCTCTTAAGATATCCAGACTTGGACACACGGAACTGGTATGGTGGGAAACTTGCACATTACATCAACGGCCTCGTGGCCACGTGCCAGGACCCAAGCGACTTCTACGGCCATGACCTTCTCACCATGCTTCAAGGTCACATGGACGGGTTCCCCAAGCACTACTTCAATCACAACTTCGCGTACAGTTGGGCCGTGCTTGCACTGTGTAATGCAGGGTTGACCGTACAGGAGACGTACTTACAGCAGTTGACCAAATCACCCGGGAACTACACGTTTGGCGTAGGTATGTAGAACAACAAAATTGACATCATCGCTCTCTGAATATTCTGAATGTATTCGAAAGTGGGTTGGGTTATTCATTTTTCTAAACCTCCACCCGAAAAAGATAAATAAATAAATTATATTATACAAAGAGAGAGAGAGAGTGAGAGAGAGATTACATGTACCGTACATACGCACTTATACAGAGAAACACCTACAGGTGCATTTATCAGGAGTCTTTTTATCAAATTTCCCTAACAAACCTCATGTCGCTTTATCCTTATCTGCCAATATTTTGTTAGTTGGAAGGATAATAAACAAAGACTTAGCTATGTTTTTAAGTTAATTTAAGATGCACTAATGACGTTATCCTTTGTTTTCTTATTCTAATTTATCAAATGAAAGATGAGGCGGCTATGACGGTGATAGCCTTATCTTGTGTGAGGAACCAAACCGACGTGAAGTCCGCCATTTCTGCTGGAGTACAGTTTATACTTGATAACAAGAAACCAGATGGTTCTTTTGGAAATGAATACAGCACTGGGTTGGCTGTGCAGGTAAACTCTAATGCTGAGATCTATTTATTTTCTAATTATTGAAGAAATTTAAAAGAAATTATGTTATATATGCCTGGTATCGTTGTTCATGAAATATGAGTTGATACCTGAGATACCCAGTATTTAGTGCACGATTTCTTATAAATATTCATAGATAAATTACAAATATTATCATAAAAAATACGATAAGAGATAAAAGTTGAGAGGTACAGAATTTGTGTGTGCTTATTGATGATACTCAATTCGGGTTTGGCAACTTCGCTCTTCGTCACCCCTGCCATTTTGGTTTTGCTGGCCATCTTGAAAATTTAGGTTATTACCTGCAAATGATTTGGAAGGCTTTAAATAAGCATTTTGCTTTCTTTCATCAGAATGAAAGTTTTAGACTTCAAGGATTGTACCGTGTATAAGTCATTCCATTTGCGCCAACTACACCTAATTTGATAGCTACCGGTGTATAAGGTACATGTACACATGTGCAAATATGTCATTAAAAGCTAAATCAACTCTTTCAGGCTCTCTATGCCGACGACAAAGAGAGCAGATTGGACATCAAGAAAGATGCTCTCCTCTACCTGGTTTCATTGCAAGGTAAACTGTAACATGCCAGTATACAGTTTGTTAGAACGCAATAAACGCATTCTTGAAAAAGGGTCGTAGTCAATAGAATTATAAAGATGTTTAACAAAAATAAAAAATTATAATGAACTATCTCTTGACATCAAATTTGAAAAACCCGTTCTTAAAAGGGCAAAATGATGAAATAAAAATTTAGTTATAGTAAGCCTATGGTTAATAATTATTCTTTCAATAATCAGTTTGTTGAAAATTTCAAATAACATCATCAAACAACATATCAGTAAACTGTTAAGGTGAGGACGGCTCCTATGACTCAGTAGCAGCAGCCAATCATGTGTTTCCGGCGTTGAACCAGAAATCATATGCCGATATAGGCGACATTACTTCCTGTCAAGTAGGTAAGAGCTGTATTCAGCGTTCCAGTGAAATCCCAGTTTAAGCACAGTAGTAGGTCATTAAAATATCTACTAGTAAATCTCCTTTACTTACTGTCTATTCGACGTTCGTGCAAACTGTCGACAATTTGTGACATATGCATCTTTTTTGTTTCTTAATTCCACCTACCTCTGTATTCTGCAGAATAACACTAAGATTGAACAAATAATTTCCTTTTCACTTTCTCTCAGTGACTACAACTCCCGCCCCCACCACACCGCCAACGTCATTTTTCACTTTCACGATCAACGTGATAGCGACGTTGGCGCCACACAACGTCAGTGACACCTTTAACGTGACGGTACCAGATGGCTCCTCCCTGTTGGACGCCATGGTCATCCTCCGGAATACGGATCCAAATTTTACGTATGTTACAGATGTGCGCACGCTCACGTCCGCTTGTTTTGACTTTTCAATGTTGCTTTGTCCCATGGGAATCAATGATATATTCAAGTTGTGTCATCTGTTGTTTAAAGAATCTATGATTATATTTGAAAAAAATTTAATGCATTATTAAACAGTACAGCTGCCAAGTCACCATCATGCAAAGAATGCGTTTCAACCAGACTTGGACGCCAATGAAATATCGGATATAGGCAATAACCATGGGTTTTAGCTGATGTTGTTTAAGGAATTTAGAACTGTATTTTCGGTAACTCGTTTTTGTTTTTGTACCAGGTTCACGAGCGAAGAGAAGTCCTGGGGCACCTCCATCACCAGCATCCAGGGGATAGCGTCCGACCCAGACGCTAGAACGTACTGGAGCCCAGCCGTGGCCCCTAACGCTACCCTCACTACAAGTAAGTGGTCAAAGGAGCTTGACCAGTCTGGGTTTCAGAACATTGGATGCTCACCTCTCTACTATCAACATGTCTTTGTTGTTTTCAGTTACACTCTTATAGTTTCAGCTTCGTTCTAAGTTCTTGCATCTGTACGCATAGTCAATTCTTACAATCAAATCTAACAGTGCTTTATATATATATATTATAAGGAAAATATATTTATTTTCTGCCAGGTGTTGATGGTTTCTATCCAACCGACGGAATGACCGTGATATTTCGCTATTCTACGTATTGAGAGGGTGTGGACGTAAAAGACGACATTTCTAATGGAGCCATGCTGAAGATGATTCAGCGACAGCAAGACACTTGTATTGGACTAAACAAAGATAGTCATTGTAACAATTTAGTTAGTTCAAAGCTATGCTGCTATTAGTAGTTTTGCATACACTAATCCTTGGTGAGCTCCCCTCTCCCTCCTGTCCTGATATGCAAGAACCAGCAACCCATTTACCCGTAAAATGTTTTATTACCTCCGCCAAGGAGGTTATGTTTTCACCCCTGTGAAATTTTCAGAAGTGGGCCAAGAAAGAGATGGTTATTTTGTGGTGGTGATCTGGATCAATAATAAATCAATAATTAATAATCAATGATCAAAAAAATAAGTTATGGACCGATTTTGATGAAATTTTCAGGAACTGTAAGAAGTGGGCCAAGGAACAGATGATTAGTTTTTGGTGGGGATCCGGATCAATAATCAATCAATAATCAAAAATATAGAAAATTTAGGGGTGAAACGGCATTGGATGGAGACTTTGCTGCCTTGGCGGATAGNTGCCAGGTCCTGCCGCCACCGTCAAGGAAATGAACCTTGACCTCTTGGCAGCTATTAGCAAGTAAGATGTTATCACCTGCATTTTTACTTTCAACCTACCATTACCTTTCACATAACACTTGTTTAATTTTTCTTCTTGATTCATCATTTGTTCTCCGTTTTAGCTACATCGAATTGTACAATGGGGACATGGAAGAAAATTGACTCTCTGAAGCTGAACACTTTGAAATGTAGTATTTCATATATTTAAGAAAGTCTTGTATTTTAAAGGTGTATGCGTGTGTTGACACATTATTTTATAATTTTGGGGGCCCATATAGGGCTTTTTATTTGCTAATTTTGTTTATTTAAGGTGGCGTCTTCATGAGACTCCCCTTCTTAAATTATTCATATATTCTCTTAAGATATCCAGACTTGGACACACGGAACTGGTATGGCGGGAAACTTGCACATTACATCAACGGCCTCGTGGCCACGTGCCAGGACCCAAGCGACTTCTACGGCCATGACCTTCTCACCATGCTTCAAGGCCACATGGACGGGTTCCCCAAGCACTACTTCAATCACAACTTCGCGTACAGCTGGGCTGTGCTGGCACTGTGTAATGCAGGCTTGACCGTACAGGAGAAGTACATACAACAGTTGACCAAATCACCCGGGAACTACACGTTTGGCATTGGTATGTAGAACAACAAAATTGAAATCATCGTTCTCTGAATATTCTGAATTTATTCGAAAGTGGGTTGGGTTATTCATTTTTCTAAACTTCAAGCCTCCACCCGAAAAAGATGAATAAATAAATTATATTATACAAAGAGAGAGAGAGTGAGAGAGATTACATGTACCGTACATACGCACTTATACAGAGAAACACCTACAGGTGCATTTATCATACTGATCAGGGGCCCTTTTATCAAATTTCCCTAACAAACCTCATGTCGCTTTATCCTTATCTGCCAATATTTTGTTAGTTGGAAGGATAATAAACAGAGACTTAGCTATGTTTTTAAGTTAATTTAAGATTCACTAATGACGTTATCCTTTGTTTTCTTATTCTAATTTATCAAATGAAAGATGAGGCGGCTATGACGGTGATAGCCTTATCTTGTGTGAGGAACCAAACCGACGTGAAGTCCGCCATTTCTGCTGGAGTACAGTTTATACTTGATAACAAGAAACCAGATGGTTCTTTTGGAAATGAATACAGCACTGGGTTGGCTGTGCAGGTAAACTCTAATGCTGAGATCTATTTATTTTCTAATTATTGAAGAAATTTAAAAGAAATTATGTTATATATGCCTGGTATCGTTGTTCATGAAATATGAGTAGATACCTGAGATACCCAGTATTTAGTGCACGATTTCTTATAAATATTCACAGATAAATTACAAATATTATCATAAAAAAAATACGATAAGAGATAAAAGTTGAGAGGTACAGAATTTGTGTGTGCTTATTGATGATACTCAATTCGGGTTTGGCAACTTCGCTCTTCGTCACCCCTGCCATTTTGGTTTTGCTGGCCATCTTGAAAATCTAGGTTATTACCTGAAAATGATTTGGAAGGCTTTAATTAAGAATTTTGCTTTCTTTCATCAAAATGAAAGTTTTAGACTTCAAGGATTGTACCGTGTATAAGTCATTCCATTTGCGCCAACTACACCTAATTCGATAGCTATTAGGTACATGTACACATGTGCAAATATGTCATTAAAAGCTAAATCAACTCTTTCAGGCTCTCTATGCCGACGACAAAGAGAGCAGATTGGACATCAAGAAAGATGCTCTCCTCTACCTGGTATCATTGCAAGGTAAACTGTAACATGCCAGTATACAGTTTGTTAGAACGCAATAAACGCATTCTTGAAAAAGGGTCGTAGTCAATAGAATTATAAAGATGTTAAATAATAATAATGAACTATCTATTGGCATCCAATTTAAAAATCCCGTTCTGAAGAGGGCAAAATGATGAAATAAAAATTTAATTATAGTAAGCCTATGGTTAATTATTTTTTTAATGATCATTTTGTTGAAATTTCAAATATCGGTAAATTGTTAAGGTGAGGACGGCTCCTATGACTCAGTAGCAGCAGCCAATCAAGTGTTTCCGGCGTTGAACCAGAAATCATATGCTGACATAGGCGACATTACTTCCTGCCAAGTAGGTAAGACCTGTATTTAGCGTTCCAGTGAAATCCCAGTTTATGCACGGTAGTGGGTCATTAAAACATCTACTAGTAAATCTCCTTTACTATCTGTCTATTCAACGTTTGTGCATACTGTCGACAATTTGTGACATATGCATCTTTTTTGTTTCTTAATTCCACCTACCTCTGTATTCTGCAGAATAACACTAAGATTGAACAAATAATTTCCTTTTCACTTTCTCTCAGTGACTACAACTCCCGCCCCCACCACACCGCCAACGTCATTTTTCACGTTCACAATCATCGTGATAGCGACGTTGGAGCCACACAACGTCAGTGACACCTTTAACGTGACGGTACCAGATGGCTCCTCCCTGTTGGACGCCATGGTCATCCTCCGGAATACGGATCCAAATTTTACGTACGTTCAAGATGTGCACACGTTCACGTCTGGTTGTATTGACTCTTAATTGTTGCTTTGCCCCACTGGAGTCAATGATATATTCAGGTTGTGTCATCTGTTGTTTGAAGAATCTATGATTATATTTGAAAAAAAATTAATACATTATAAAACAGTACAGCTGCCATGCCACCATCATGCATAAATGCGTTTCAACCAGACTTGGACGCCACTGAAATATCGGATAGCTGATGTTGCTTGAAGAATCTATTGTTGTGTTTTTTTTTTTTTTTTTTTTTTTTTTTTTTTTTTTTTTTTGGCCAGGTTCACGAGCGAGGAGAAGTCCTGGGGCACCTCCATCACCAGTATCCAGGGGATAGCGTCCGACCCAGACGCTAGAACGTACTGGAGCCCAGCCGTGGCCCCTAACGCTACCCTCACTACAAGTAAGTGGTGCTTGGTCAGTCTGGGTTTCAGAACATTGGAAACTCGTCTCTCTACTATCAACATGTCTTTGTTGTTTTCAGCAACACCCTTATAGTTTCAGCTTCGTTCTAAGTTCTTGCATCTGTCAATTCTTACAATCAAGCTTCTTCTTTGATGGCATTATAAATAGGCCTACTTGTAATTCCTAGGTTGAAAATAAATTGGAATAAATAAAATAGAATCTGTTTTTGTCACAGTCGTTGCTTATAAAAAATATGAGCCATAGGGCCTATATATGCATGACTTTTATAATTATTTTTCAAAAAAAAAAAAAAAAAAATCAGTGAGTGATTTTTGGTGCAGTATAGTAGGACTTTTCATAAAACATATCAGTATCTTAATTTGATTCAATATGTCTTACCAATTTTCTGACAATTTCAAACATAAGGCTCCATTTTAATCATCTGAAATAGAGTGGAACACGTAGGCCTACCAGTAGGCCTACATGTACACTGTACGTAGCTGTAGGCCTATATATAACTACTAGGCCTACAAATGTAGTTTTTAAACATGAATAATCACAAAAACTCTGTAATAATAATAATAATAATAATAATAATAATAATAAATAAATAAATTGATTGAGTCATATCGATCGACCTGACTTAATGGTGTTTAGTGAGATTACCTTGTGCACTCTTCAGTTGGTGGAGGTACGATCTTCACCTTCATGCCACTTTTCGTGAACTTTGAAGTACTTGTACTTAATATTTACTTTCTTGAGTTTTTGATTGATGCGATTTTTACTTTGAACTCTGCCCAAGTATCATGGCCACCATCGTCGGAATCCCCGTAGTGGACTTCTCTCCCTGTAGCTCACAAAACTCGGAAGTATCAGACGAAAGTCTGAAGAAAGTCGGCAGCGAAATTTGCAAGGCGTTTACTGAAGTTGGTTTTGTGTACATAACGGGCCATGGTATACCCGGAGAACAGGTGCGTAATGATGGTCTCGTCCTACTACGTGGTGCAACTACTTGGTGCCGGGATTTTCAGCCACTTAAAAGGTTTGCATCAACTACCATATTGTACTTGTACTAGTACATGTAAGCTAGTGTACCTCTTTTGAACCAGTAAAAATATAATGATTAATTTTAAAACCAGCTAAATAAAATAAAATAAAATTGATTGAAAAAAAAAAAAAAAAAAAACGGGGAATTGATTGTACAATGGCTTTTACATCCACTTAGAAATGTATCGGTTTTTATGGATTTAGGGACAGTTGGCATTAAACAAATTTAAAGGTACACTCCTTGAGGTTTAGTAAATCATTTTCCTGCCAAAATTATTTTCTTGGGAAAGTAAGCAATTTTTTTCAATCTCACGAATCATTTATGTATACTTCTCTGTGCTTGGATTCAACCTTTTATAAAATTTATAAAGGTTGATTTTAGCAGATTTGGCCAGTCATTATAACAGCAACCATTTGAGCCAAAAGCACTAAATTAATGGAAATATCAACATCAGGTATGCTCAAGAATAAAAATCAAGGGGTTAAATCATTTGAAGTTAGAAGCTGTATATGGCAAAAATGAGCATTTTAGAGATTTTCAAACCCAGTGTACCTTTAAGCAGAGCCATGATGACTTTCTCTCATTTCAGATAGAAAGGTTTTTCCAAACAACACAATCATTTTTTTATTTACCTGGAGAAGTAAAAAGCAGGTATGCGATGAGGAAGGGGGAGTATCATGGTTTTGCTGCCACAGAGACAGAGAGGTGAGTTTTATTTATTCATTTATTTATTTTTTGTTTAGTTAGTTAGTAAGTTGGTGAGCTATTTTTCCACAGTTAATTTTATTTCTAGGTTTTTTTTTATTAACATTATTTTCAACCTGAGTAAAGCTTACATACTAGTAGTACTAGCACAGTCATGTACTAGTTCCTTTATGTCAGGGAGCACAGAGTTGGGAAATAATTTGTAATTAATAGTATTAAGGGAAGAGGCAATTTGTGAATGCTTGATAGCTGTGTAACTTTTATATATAAATGTGTTTTCTCATTCAGATTAAATCCAGACAGGCCGCAGGACTTCAAAGAAACTATGAACTACCTCCCAGGTTGCCCTATAAAGGTATCTAGACGGTGGTGGATCTGGGGGGTGGGGGGTCCTTCTCTTTATCCCCAAAATACAGGTGGGGGGGGGGTGCTCTACTACATGTACCATTTTTGGGTAACAGCTGTATTTGAAGGCTTTCTTTCATCAACATGTTAAAGAAGTTGTGAAAAAAAAGAGAAAAAAAGTTACGGTAAAAGGTCTACTTTTTCAGAGAAAAAAAAAATCTGTGTTCATGTTCTGTTCTGACAGGTTATTCATACTAGTATGTATGATCAAGTTTAGAATTTTGAGCTGTTAAAAAAATCTCCATCTTTATTGAATGAGAAAAATGTGAATTTATACGATAGAAAACTATTTATTTTAAAAAAGCTGTCTTTCAGGACTGGCCTGTAACGGAAGTACCACAATTTGTCAAAGACTACCAAAACTTCTTTGACACATGCAGCCATCTTGGTCATCGTGTCCTGCAGTCGATAGCGGCAGGTTTAGGCCTTCAAGTAAGTACACACAACATGCTTGAGTGATAATTAAGACACAAATCACTGAGAATGTTTTGACACATGTACTCATGGCCATAGCAGCTGAGTTACAAATACAGGAATGTTTCTTGGGAAATAAAGGAGTGCATGTAACTAGATTTCACATTGTTACACACAGCATATAGTGTGGTCCTGTTATTTATTGTAGTTAAAATTATATGTATTCATTTTAGTGTGTATTCTCATGGCAGAATTATGAAAAAAATCCATTTTTGTGCATATACTTTATATATACTGTAGAATACACCTCTGTATAAATTTTTATTATCAGCAAAACAAGACACTTATTTTGACTTTTTATTTTCATAGGACATCAAGTCATTTCAAAAGTTCCACCAGTTTTTGGGACAACCTGGTAATTTGACTGCTCTGAGGACCCTCCACTACCCACCTGTCAAAGTTAATGGTAATTATAAAATAACTTCTTCCCTCTCACCTGTCAGTGAAATTGGTAATTAAATTAAAACTTAACTACCCTCCTGTCAAAGCTTCTGGTACTTATATAAGAACATCACAATCTAGTTGTAAGAGAGAGAGAGAGAGAGAGAGAGTGGGGTGTGTGTGTTTTGAAAATAAATTGAAATGTGTAACAAAGACTTTCATCTCTTTTAGAGTTAAAGGAAGGTCAGTTACGGCTGGGAGAACATTCAGACTACGGCTCCATTACTCTTCTCTTTCAAGATGATGTTGGGGGTTTAGAGGTGAGAAAATGAATTTTGGAAAGTGTTATTTTTTCATCCCAAATCACTTGGATGGAGGACTAACAGTTTAAATGGATTACTCCCCTTTCCAAAACACAATGTAATCCCTATTAAAAAGTTATAACATACCTCAGGACAATGTTCTGATAATATTTTTAAGTTCCAGTGATGTTTTATACCATGTTGTACCCTGACAGTAAATAAAATTTCATTACAACTTGTCAGAATTGAAGTACCCAAAGAAAAAGGTTTCATATTGCTCATATATGTAATGTTCCTACTGGTAATTGATATATACCTGTGGCTTACCATCTATGAGTGTGCCATGGGGAATGTTTTTCACCAGATATTTCGAGATTTTTCTCAGGGCATTTACTCGCTGTGCACATTTCTAAGGGGTGAGAGTATTTGGCACAGCAACTTGTGAGACCGTCTTGTTCTTCTTTAGGTGGAGGGTATAAATGGAGAGTGGATCCCTGCCACGCCCATTCCTGGCACCATCATTGTAAATGTCGGAGACATGCTGATGAGAATGACAGCTGGAAAACTGAAATCAAATGTAGGTTTGAAAAACTGTCAGTTTGCTGGTTTTATTTAATTCAACTTCACAGTAACCATCGTTTCAGATACAGAACTGCTACAAACAATTTATCAGTTTGCCAGCCCCAGAAACTTGTATCATCACTGGGACATGAAATTAACAACATTGTACATAATGTAGACTTCTGAATAATTATTAGGGGCTTAAGGATATTGTACACAACTTATATTATTTCTATTTGGTTTTGATGCTTTCCTTAAGGAGTCGACCCATAACATTGATTAGCCAGCTGGTACCCTCATGTTATGAATTTGAACATTTAAGATGAGAAATGTAATTATATGATTGCATTTTTAAAAATACCCAGGAAATATTAAAACAAGATGGAATGATTGTATCTAATTTTTGGCTACCAGAGTACATTTTTTTGTCTTCAGAGGCATAAAGTAGTGGTGCCTGAAGAAGAAGTAAGGAGAAAGGTCCCTAGGTTCTCGGCAGCTTTCTTCATGATGACTGACCAGGAGGCTGTGATTTCACCTTTAGATGGCAGCACGTCCTATGCCCCACTGACTATGGGGGAATATATTAATAAGAAATTTGCTGAAACTTACTAGCCTCGAAGGATTGATTTTAACCAGGTCATTTGAATGGGGTTACAATAATCATTTTTCTTTCAAGCTACATATCATTACTAAAAGTAAAACTTTAAAAAAATGGTTATTGTATTTGAAATGTATTTTGCTGTATTTCTTGTACTGTTCTTCATTTATGTTTGGAAAATTAATGCTTTCAATGTTTTTTATCTGGTAACTAAATACAAAGGACTATGCATGACTTGGACATTTTAAATTTTTTAATTTCAATAGATTTATTTAATGTGATCAATAAATTGAATAGTTTCAAGTGAGGGTTCTACTGTTTTATTTCAAGGTTTGTTTATATTTGAAGAAAATATATACAAACTCACTTTGAAAAGAATTTCGGTACATAACAATTGACGTCTAAAAAAATTCAGTATATGAAAGTGGACATCAAAAAGAATTTCAGTATAAATTAATTGAAGAGTGATTTTAATTATGTCCATGAGAAGCACTCCTACGACTCTAAAGTAAAAAAAATGGCATAACAGGCATAAACGAGGTTGCCGTTTGTGGTCTTCAGCCACAGGTTTTTGATTGCGAGTGAGCGGATAAACGTTTCCAACAACGATTTTATTGCATGAAGGTAAAAGTTCTTATTGCGAGCATCGCAATTTTACATCGCCAACTGCAAGCCTGCTCGCCTTTCCCTTCGGCCCATACCGTATGTTCTGAAGATTGTTGAGAATCTTCATATAAAACGGAACACAAAGATTCTCCATGTAGTTTTTATTATGTATTCTGAATGGTCTATCTGTCCACGGCGTCGCTGTCACCGTGACTGTCGCTGTCCGACACATGACGTTTGCCTCATAAGTTTCAATCCGTATTTTGTTTTACTTTAATTTTACTGAGGGGCTTCTTTTTGGTAAAGAGGCAGGATGCTTTCAGAAATCGGCATGATCAGTTTACATTTACGGTAATTATTCTGTTTTTTTTTTTTTTGGCACAATTTTGGTGACATTCACCCCATGACTTCCAAACCGTATTTTTGCTTTACTTTAAAGTCAGTGAGTGGCTTTGTTTGGTAAAGAGGCAGGTTTGAAAAGATGCAGATTTGAAAATCGGCATGATCGGTTTATGTTTACGGTCATTATTCTGTTTTTTTTCTTACATTACGTGTACAACTGGTCAAATTGAAAATCCGAATACTACGTGTATAATTCCAGATAGTTGCTTCTTAACTTCATCTCTCTGCCAAAGTTGCTCACAGAAAATTGGAACTCCTTAAAATTACATCTTATGACCTATGGTCCTAGCTTACACATAAGTCCCAAACCGTATTTTCGTTTTAATGTAAATTTACTGAGTGGCATTGTTTGGTAAAGAGGCATAGGTACTTCTAAAATTTGGCATGATAGGTTTACATTTACGGCAATTATTATTATTTGTGATTTTTTAATTTTTTTTCAGTGACTTTTATATCCCATGGAACTGAATCACTCGCTAGTTTTTCAATTCTATGTACATAATGTTCGGTAAGAGGGTAAGAATGATTATTCTGCTTTAATACATTATATCATAAGAGTGCATCGAAATTGACCAAAACATTATTTGGTGCACTTTTTTTTTTTTTTTTTGTGAAACGTCTGAGCATTTGGCAGCTCTGCTGTCTTGTCTCCTGCATGGTGTCTCTATATACTTGCCAGCTTTGCTGTCTTGTTTTTTGTTGTTGATATAAATCATAAGATATAATTTGGTATACCAACATAGAGACACAACTGCACAACTGGTGGTTATAAATTATGCACAGTATGTATTAGTTCGTCTTACCGTTCATTTTGTGAGTAAATGTTTGTGTATGTATCCAGTATTTTAACGGGCAATGATGAAAGCGAAAATTTGTTTGCTGTGTATTACCTTTGCCATGATAGCTTCCCTTTATTGGATGGTGAGTAAAATTAGCAGGTATCAGACAAATACCGCATCTCTTGCAAAAGGTAAGGACCACATTCTGTCTCTCTCTCTCTCTCTCTCTCTCGCACACACACACACTCACACCGCCCGACTGGTGTCATAATAATCCCCCTTTTTTCATTTTATTATGAGCCATGCAGGTATAATTATAAATTGACCGACGTCTAAATCTGACCTTAATTTAATTTGTACTAATTTCGTTTCAGCGTTTTTTTTAAAACTTGGACCAAAAATTGATTTCAGCTAAACTAAATGCAATGTGAAATCTCTGCATTACTGCTTAGTTTCAGGTCGGACACAAGTGGCCACCCTTTCAGGTCCAAAATATTTGACCATTCCTGGACAACTTCCCGATGCTACGCCTTCTTCTGCAGCAGCTCCCTCACCGTACGTTGTCCCAAACCGGACTTGTTCCCACGACAACTGTAAACCAAAAAGACAAATTGTTTTCTTGAGAGTTCATAAATGCGGTTCTTCCACTACGTACTCGATCTTACAGCGCGCAGCAAACAGTTACAGATTGAATATCCTACGTCCTATCAAAGGAAGACCAAGTTTTTACCCTAGTAAAGATTTACACTACCCGCTGCTTCATGTAAGGAAGATAACAGTTGCAGATGCTGCATACAACCCCGATAAAACATATGACATGATGATTGATAACATGGTATTTGATGCTGACGTTATAAACATTATGATGCCAAGGGACTCGTTTCGCATAGGACTTGTCCGTGAACCATTTTCCCAATTTAAGAGTGCTTTTAACTTTACGTCTATGAGAAGCAAGTTTAACATAACATCTTCCAACACTCTGCAGTCATTTTTTCAAAATCCGTACAAATACTGGAATATGTCCACACGTCGTGGTCATAAAAGCTTTGTCAGAAATGGGATGATGTTTGAATTTGGCTTTCCAGATGACGATATAAAAACCAGAAACAATGATACTTTCATCAAACAATACATTGATTACTTAGACAATCAATTTGATTTTATAATCGTGAATGAGCTGTTTGATGAAAGTTTGGTTTTACTTGGTAGAATGTTATGCTGGAAGGTACAGGATTTGCTGTATGTAAAGCTGAGTGTGGGTAAATACACCCCAGAGTTAAAAGCCGAAGACGACCCTTGGATCATTCAACAACACAAAGAATGGAGTAAAGCCGACTATCATTTGTACGACTACTTCTTAACCAAAATGAAAAAGACCCTTTCTTCTCAAAGACAAGATTTTCACGCTGAGCTTGCAACTTTCAGAAATGCTTTAAAATGGGTGGGAAAATGTGGGTTTAGAAATGTGTTGGATTCCTGTCAACAAGCTGTCAGTGGAACCAACGTTTCATTACGGTGTGTAAAATATGGTAGTAGGTAAAAACACCGCAAATGCGAAAAAAAAAACATCGCGTACCAACATGGTGCCAAGGGGGAAAAATGGTGTAGCAAACAGTGGACAACATTTGCGTGACACATCCCTTTTTTGTACGTGCTGGAAGTGTATTGAATTTAATTGATCATTGGAAGCCAAATAACTGGGAGGTATAGCCTATAATTTACCATAAGAACAGAAAAGGAACAAGTTAGGTCCACCATTGGGGCATGCCTAACTGCAGTCAGGACGGGTAATTTCTGTTCTAAATATACTGAGGTACTAATGCCTAATACATACCTAGGGATGTTATATGACCGTGGCGATATGATGATCACTGAAGCCTGTCCACTTAGCCAAGCTTCAGTGAAGATCAAGGGCAACCTCGAGCCGCTACAAAAAATGTCTCGCTTCACTCGACATTTCTGCGTAGCGTCTCTCGGAAAACTCGGATTTAACCTCGATTTAGTCTAGAATTTCACGACTACATCTTGGTAAAATCAGTCGAGGTCTCTTAAATGCTGAAAGCCAAAGACAGAGTGATCATGTGACCTTCTTGGCATCAAGAGAATATGCACGTTGCTTACGTTATACACCTACCAGTAGACAAATTTAAAATCTCTCACACTCTTAAAAAATTAGCATAAACTTTTCACGTTTAACAATTATTATTTATCATTTTATTACACTAAGTCATATCATATGGGTATGGTTTGAAAACGGGAATTAGTTTACATTTAAGCCACACGTGTATTCAAATTATTTGTAAATTTATAACTTTTTAACGAGGATTGTGTTATTTACCTTTTGTTTTTAAGCTGTTCATTCTTCTTCTTTATCAGATATATCGGTAAAAATCAAATGTATTCCCCCTTTGAACTTGTAATAGCATGTAGCACATGAATACTCTGAAAACCAGCATATGTATATTCCGAAACCGCCTCGTAGTAAAAAATGTCACCAAAACGTAGAATTATTACTCCTGTGGACTTGAAATAAACATCCGTTTGGTTTTGACTATATTCCGTAACCGCCTCGTCGTCAGAAATAACAATAATAAAACTAGAATTATTACTCCCGTGAACTTGTAATAAACATCCGTCGATTTAGACTATATTCCGAATTGCCTCGTTGTCAGAAATATCACCAAAAAGTACATTTCTTTCTCCTTTGCACTTGTAGAGAATTAGTTTGACTATATTCCAGTCCGACGCTCCTTTTTTTATCAGAAATGTCACTAAAAGTAGAGGTTTTGCCTCGGGACCTTTTTTCCGCAGCAGCCCCAGCTAGGTGTGGCTCAGCTGAGACGCGCATGGTCAGTTGGTTAAATACTTTTCAGGCCAGTTGAACGTCCACGAAAAGTATTTAGCAAAAATTGACCAAATTGGTCAGACATTACGTAAGAATTTGGCGGGAGATGACTAGCGCACGTGGACGAGTTTATTCCGTATAACATCTCTAGAGCGTGATATAGGGTCACTTTATTCGGTTTTAGGGGTGTTTCAAGATGAAATGATTGTATTTTTTCTCGGTATGTATGTCAAATAATACACTGACGCTCGAGGTGTTATGGCATATATCGCGAGAGGGTGACAGTGTATTATCTCACACATGGCTGAACCTTTTATTGGCTCTGTCCTTTTTACCTTGGTGGTTTTAGGGGGCATAACAATAACGAAGATGTTTAAAACTAATTTTGAGTAATAAAAAAAGGATGGGATTTACGAAAGAAAGATGTTATTTTTTGCTTTTAAATTGATGAAATAACGGGCAGTTTTATTTAATATATCTTTGGAGAAGTAAAGTTTTAATCTTCCCTACATAAACTCGAGTAACAATTAACATTTCAAAGGCTGTGATAATAACAAACTGTGAACACAGATGTCAACTATCCAATCTGTTTAATTTCTCCAATAATCCATACAAGCCCTTATAGCAGAAAACCCCCTTTCTCCAGATTCATCATTTCCATGTTACAGTTGCAGTTTTGGACAAACTGATGGCAAATGGTATTGTTCATTTTATTTGAAATGTATTTTCCTGTCTTTCTTCATTTATGTTTGGAAAACTAATGCTTTCCAAGTTTTTATCTGGTAACTAAATAGAGAGGACTATGCATAACTAGGACATTTTAAATTAATTTCAATAGATTTATATAAGATGATCAATAAATGCACACACCCCTTCCAAAAGAAAAAGTATATAAAATAGAGGAATTTCAGTATAAATTAATAAAGAGTGATTTTAATTATGTGTACGAGAAGCATGTTTACCTCCTCAAACACTCCTACGACTCTAAAGTAAAAATAATGCCATAGCAGGCATAAACGAAGTTGCTGTTTGTGTTCTTGATCCTTGGGTTTGCGAGCAAATTCCAACAGCAATTTTATTGTGCAAAGGTAAAAATTCTTGTCTTGAGAATCCCAGTTTTACATAGAGAATTGCAAGTCTGCTCGTCTTGTACCATATATTCTGAAGATTGTTGAGATCGTATAAAACAGATCAAAAAATTTTTGATGTAGTTTTTATTATATACAAACACTGTAAGCGCCTGTATATATTCTAATTGGTCTGTCTGTCCGCATCGTCGCATTCACTGTCGCCGTCACTGTTGCTGTCCAACACATGACGTTTGCCCCATGACTTCCAAATCATAATTTTGTTTTACTTTAGATTCACTGAGTGGTTTTGTTTGGTAAATAGGCAGGATGCTTTTGAAAATCAGCATGATCGGTTTACATGCATGGTAATTATTCTGTTTTTTTTCACAATTTTGGTGATTTTGCCCCATAACTGCCAAACTGTATATTTGTTTTACTTTAAATTTTCTGAGTAGCTTTGTTTGGTAAAGAGGCAAATTACTTTCGAAGATCAGCATTATCAGTTTACATTTATGGTAAATTTTTTTTTTTTTTTTTTTTCGGGGGGGGGGGAGGGGGGGTTCACAAGTAAGAATTGGCGGCTTTTATATCCCATGGAACTGAATCACTTACTGGTTTTTCAGTGTCCATGTTACCTGTAGTACATGATGTAAGAGGGTAAGAATGATTATGCTGCTTTAGAGCATTATGTAAAAGTGCATCAAAATTGGCCAAAACAACATTTGGTGCATTTTTTTCTGTGTAATGTCTGAACATTTGTCAGTTTTGCAGCTTTGTTTTATGTATGGTGTCTGTATATTTACCAGCTTTGCGGTCTACTTTTTGTTTTTGATATAAATCATAAAATTTGATTTGGCATTTGTGTCTCTATGTTTGAGCCCTACGGCTATAAAATATGCACAGTACGTATTAGGTACAATCCAATTGTTCATTTTGTGAGTAAATGTACATGTATGCATCCAGTAATTTAATGTGCAATGATGAAAGTGAATATTTGTTTGCTGTGTATTCCCATTGCCATGATAGCTACCCTTTATTGGGTGGTGAGTGAAAGTCGCAGGTTTGAGACAAACACCGCATCCCTTGTAAAAGGTAAGGACCACATTCTCTCTCTCTCACTCTCTCTCTCTCTCTCTCTCTCTCTCTCTCACACACACACACACACACACACACACTCTCACACACACTCTTTCTCTCTCTCACACACACACACACACACACACACTCTCTCTCTCTCTCTCTCTCTGTCTCTCTCTCTCTCTCTCTCTCACACACTCTCTCACAAACTCTCTCTCTCTCTCTCTCTCTGGAAACACACACATTGGAGCACCACGTTCTGCTTTCTTTCTCAGCACACACCAAGCACACACGAATATTCTCTCTCTCTCTCTCTCTCTCTCTCTCAGACACACACACACACACACACATCTGGCTGGTGCCATGGTAATCCCATCTTTTTTAATTTTTTTATTTGAGTTTTTCAGGTATAAATTGACCGACGTCAGAATGTGACTTGAATTTAATTTGTACTCATTTCTTTCTTTTTTTGTTAAACTTGGACCAAAAATGATTTCAGCTGAACGAAATGCAATGTGAAATCTGATATTTCTGCTTAGTTTCAGATTGGACACAAGTGGCCACCCTATCAGATCCAAAATATTTGACCCGTCTTGGACAACTTCCCGATGCCACGCCTTCTTCTGCAGCAGCTCCTTTACCGTACGTTGTCCCAAACCGGACTTGTTCCCACGACAACTGTAAACCAAAAAGACATATTGTTTTCTTGAGAGCTCATAAATGCGGTTCTACCACTACATACTCGATCTTACAGCGCGCAGCAAACACTTACGGATTGAATATCCTACGTCCTATCAAAGGAAGACCAAGTTTTTACCCTAGTAAAGAATTACACTACCCGCTGCTTCATGTAAGGAAGATAACAGTTGCAGATGCTGCATACAACCCTGATAAAACATATGACATGATGATTGACCACATGGTATTTGATGCTGGCGTTATAAACATTATGATGCCAAGGGACTCGTTTCGCATAGGACTTGTCCGTGAACCATTTTCCCGATTTAAGAGTGCTTTCAACTATATGTCTATGAGAAGCAAGTTTAACATAACATCTTCCAACACTCTGCGGTCATTTTTTCAAAATCCGTACAAATACTGGAATATGTCCACACGTCGTAGACATAAGAGCTTTGTCAGAAATGGGATGATGTTTGAATTTGGCTTTCCAGATGACGATATGAAAATCAGAAACAATGATACTTTCATCAAACAATACATTGATTACATAGACAATCAATTTGATTTTATAATCGTGAATGAGCTGTTTGATGAAAGTTTAGTTTTACTTGGTAGAATGTTATGCTGGAAGGTACAGGATTTGCTGTATGTAAAGCAAAATGCGGGTTATTACACCCGGGAGTTTAAAGCCGAAGATGACCCTTGGGTCGTTCAACAACACAAAGAATGGAGTAAAGCCGACTATCATTTGTACGACTACTTCTTAACCAAAATGAAAAAGACGCTTTCTTTTCAAAGACAAGATTTTCACGTTGAGCTTGCCACTTTCAAAAATGCTTTAAAATGGGTGGGAAAATGTGGGTTTAGAAATGTGATGAATTCCTGTCGACACGCTGCAAGTGGAACCAAAGTTTCATTACGATGTGTAAAATAAAAACATCGCGTTCCAACATGGAGCCTAGGGTAAAAAGATTGGCGTAGCAAACAGTGAATAACAATATTAGCGTGACACAGCCTTTTTTGTACGTGTGGGAAACGTATTGAAATAGAGTGATCAGCGGAAGCGAAATGACTAGTAGGTAGACTATAATTTGCCTTGAGAACAAAAAAGGAACTAGTTAGGTCCACCATTGGTGCATGCCTAACTGCAGTCAGGACAGGTAATTTGTGTTCTAAATATACTGAGTTACTAACGCCTTACGGATGAACCTTTTATTGGCCCTGTCCTTTTTACCTTGGTGGTTTTAGGAGGCATAACAATAATGAAGATGTTTAAGACTGATTTTGAGTGATAAAAAAAAGATGGGACTTACAAAAGAAAGATGTAATTTTTTGCTTTGGTGTAATAACGGGCAGTTTTATCTTTAAGTTATACATCTTTGGAGAAGGAAACGTTTAATCTTCCCAACAATTAACATTTCAAAGGCTGTGATAATAACAAACTATGAACACAGATGTCAACTATTCAATCTGTTTAATTTCTCCAGTTATCCATACAAGCCCATATAGCAGAAAAGCCCCTTTTCTACAGATTTATCATTTCCATGATAAAAAGTCCATTAAATGCTTTCTTTGAGGTCATTGCCAGTGCTATGGAAGTTACGCAACTTTTACCAAAATGACATTAGCAGAACTTTCTGTTAAAATGGCGCAGACTTCCATTTCTGGGCAAGTACAGTGATAATTCAACGTGCAATAATCGCTATTGGCATTTATTCTCTTTTAGTATTCATAGGCACAAAACAGAAGTAATACAATCAATATTGTTCTGCAGACTTTTTCAATGCAAATGTTAACAGCAAAACCTCTTTATGTAAAGAGTTGCTGCCACAGTGATAATGCTCCTGCACTTTTTGTTGACTATTTCTTGGCCAGCTGGTCCAAATTCTGGTTAAAATCTTTGTCCTGGACATTCAGCATAAGCGTTCCTGCATTCAAGTAAATGTGGTTCTTGGACTGGGCAATCTGGGAAATAGAAAAAATACAAAGTTATATAAAGGGCAGAACAACTGTCAAACGTACAGGTATAAAGCAGAACATGAGGGATGTGAAAGCACAATATAGCTTTGCCAATTTTGATGCAAAATTACATAATGCTTAACAGCACAAATTGTCAAACTTTACTTTTGTGTTACAGGTAACTACGAATTTGATGACAGATGCAGGTGAAATTTCATATTATTCAAATAATTTATTCTGTGCCATACAAAGAGATCAACTACGACAGCCATGACTAAAGAAGGAAATAAAAAGTAGATTATGCAGCATGATAGAATGTTTTACTCCCTCCCCCCTACCAAAAAATATAAATATAAATAAAAATACATAAATAAATACATTGAAATGAATAAATAAAATTAAATGAAAACAATTTTGAAAATGTCAGTCAATTGTTTCAAATTTGACAGTATATTTTGCATCATCAGAATTTTAAACCCCTCCCCCAGTCTAAAAAAATAATAAATAAAAAATAAATAAATCCCCTCACCGTCCTGGCAATGCTCTGGGAGGCCCTCAGTTTCCTCAGCTTTAGATATCCCGGGTTAGTGGCCACTGCATCTCCAATGTGGACAGCAGTCAAGGAAAAAAATTATCAAAATCTTTGATCTTAAGAAACACCACAGTTAATTCTGTGTCTCATCTCCTTAAAAACCTTTACTTGCGAGAAGAATTTCACATTATGACTGCATGTTTTTACCACTAAGACTCAATGCCCATCAGATTACTAAAGAAAAGATCACGCCTCCAATATTTTCCACACTGTAAAAAAAAAAAATAATAATAATAATAAAGTCCAAATGTCAATGTAATGTCATGTCTGGAGTCCTCTGGCTGTCCCACCAAACAGATTGCGCCTGTCAACACTTACGACAAGGCTCCGTGGAAAGGTGGTCATGTGATCTATGCTCGCCCTTACAACACACGGATGTCCTCCCTCCAATGTGTCAAGATTACGAGCAATATTAAAGGTACTGGTTTCTCTAACAACATGGAGATCAGATCCGTGCAGTTGGTCATCACTTGGGCAGTGGTTCTTTATTAAATAATATGGTAAAATGTGTTATTATGACATGATGGTGTTGGACAACCACACTGACTGTGTAAAAATCTGTGACAAGATTGTGGTGGGTGTGATAAATTGTGTTAGATGTGACACAATCTTGCTAGATGAAGCTGTTTATTGTGTCAGATATGACAAGGTACAGTAGGCCTGGTAATTGTGTTCAGCTTGGAAAGCTCACTGTGTGTGAACTAAAAAGGATATCAGTTTAGCAGCTTTGGCTTCACCCTCAGCTTGAACCACTTTCTGTTGTCTCTCTTGTTCTGCTCTCTCCACCACGTACTTGGCTCTCTGCGCTTCTTGTTGAGCAACCTAATGAGAGGCAGAAAAATGATGTAGAACACTTACTTTTCCATATAATTCCACTTGGGTAAAAATAATCGCCATAATCCAAACCAGTTTCTCAAATAATCGCCATGATCCACAGTTCATAGTTTCTCAAATAATCTAAGATTGCATTCCCACAGATTTAGATTGATCCATCTGGATCTACCTAACTCCCTGGGGGGTTCACGCTAAATTACTGTAAGCTGGCTAAGCTGACAGTAACCTAGCGAGACTCCCCACAGGGATAGATCAATCTAAAATATGTGGGAATACAGTCTAAGCTTTTGACCGAAAGATGAATAATGTTCTGTAAATAAATGACATTTCAAATAAAAAGAAAATATACTATTGTAGCAAAATGGTCGGTACCTGTTTAGACTCAACGGCTGATGTGTAGTCCCTGCCAAAGCTGAGGTCCGTGATAGCCACGTCATCAAGTATTATATTGAAGTCTATCGCCCGGTCCATCAAATTTTTACGGATGAGCATACTGACTTGTGCGCGCTGCGTGATTAACTGCGAGGCATTGAACTTGGCGACAACACTTTTTAAAACCTGGAAATAACAGACATTAGTCTTTATTAATAGTTAATCAGGTGTGCTTGGGATTGGTTCAATAGCACAGAATAGCAGCTGTTGAATTCAAAATGGTCACTTTAAAAAACTTGTGAAGTTTTTGTTGAAAATGATTATTTAGTTTTCAAAAACAAACAGGTAAAACACTTTAATGATAGCACGGTTATTGGATAAGAGGGTGCAGACAGTAAGCAGTGCTCAGTATATAACTGAAAACTTTATTTTACTACTAACCTGTTTATTCTTTAAGCAGAAGCAAGAAGAAAAGATATGTCTTCATAACTACGAGAAACATCTTTTTTTTAAAGAAAAATTATTCATTACTTCGGCAAGACAAAGAAACTCAATGACTATAGATGGCAGTACACAATCATCCTCAACTATATATAGATGGCAGCACAAATTACCTCATTTACAATAGATGGCAGCACACGTTCGTCATAGTCCATGCCAAGAGTTCTGTAGATGTCTGGGAGCCTCAGTGGATCAGGCCTTGCCAACACTCTCAGGGTAATGTTCACAGTCTGAAGATCTGAAACCACAGACATGGCACTACAACTGACCAAATTATTGTGGTTCCTCTTACTACTACCAATTTTTTCTCAAATTTTAATTTCACATGATATTACTAAAGATATGCTACCCATGTATGAAAACGTCTTAAAGTCATGTTTCTTAATTCTGCATATACACATATCCAGCACGGTAATATATCATTCTCCAATTCGGACCAAAAATTACAAAACTCTAATGTTCATTTTTTTATCTTGAAAAATCTGTCTTATTTAAATGGCTGTCTAAATGACCGGCAAATGATTTAGAACTAATTTTTTTAAAACTTTAAATGGTATAAACATTGATTTCAAGTAGATGAGTGGAGCAAGGTATTATAGGTCCTGGAAGAGGTGGTTTTTTTTTTTTTTTTCAGAGGGAGGATACACAGCATTAATTGAAGGACTGTGCGGCTTGCAATACTCACCTTTGCTACCTGTGGGAGATGACAGCCGTCTGGGTTTAGCACGAATGTCATAGATAATAGGGTACTGGAACCAGGGCACCCTGAGAAAATCAACAAAAAAAGTTTTAAATTGGAGAAAGGAGTGCTATTAATTGGCTTGGGTCCAGTATCAAAATAAAACCTATGTTGGACATAATATATTAATGTTGTTCTTAAGGAATTTTCAGGAATATTTTTCTTGCTAATGATACAAAAAATATTGTATTTCTGACTATAAACTAGTCATTTTAAGTTGCAATCAACTTTTAATGCATGAATTCATCAATATTTTTACTTGAAGATGTGAGTACATAATTCAGTAAAGTTATCACAATACTCCTGTAACATACCTAAAATGTAATCCTTCTGTAAATATATCATTCTGTACACCACCTATACGGCTGAATATAATAGACCTGTGACCACCTTCCACTAAAATGAGAACAAAACACACATTACATCTTTCTTTTAACCCAGGGATTGGACCAGTCCTCACTGAAAAAGTAGGAAAATCGGCTGGGGTTCCCAGGGTTCATGAATCACAAGAATGACCCAAATGACCCTGAAAAGGTCAGAATTCTGACAAAAGTCAGGAAAGTCTCATCAGTGTTAACCTGGATTTGATATACAAATTTCCAATTGCTCCCTCCCCCATTTGCTCAGCACACATTTTCCTGTATATTTATAAAACAATTTAAAGTAATAATGGGTCTTTTCTCTGCTACGACTAAAAATAAAAATAAAACTGAAATTCTCAGTGCAGAATCTGAACGTCACCACTTCGTGCCTCTCCCAGATATTGTCTACATTTTTTCTTTTTAATTAATTAGAGATGCAAAATGATATTGTTAGTTACCCTCATCTCTCTTCCTATTACTTTCATGAGTATTTCGGCGATTAAGCATTTTGGGTTTCAGTAAATTAATAATCCTTAGCAAAATATCAGGCCTTCTGCAAATTTGTAGGAATAAATATTTTCTTGCAAACTCCTGCAAACTCGTTGCTGCAGTTTACCTGCAAACTTCTCATTTTGTTGAGGGCTAACCTTGATATGATAATCCACAGCAATAGACATAAACTTGAGTTAAAATTCCACTGCAAGATTTCAATTCGCGTAATTCTTTTCCTTTACTCTGAATAACTTAAGAAGTTAAGGTGCAGAATTCTCATTAAAATTATGTGCAATCACTTCACATCAATACAAGATGTTCTAAAAGCCAAGCGCTGATGTAACATGTGTACGAATTGGGTCAGGCACGTTGGACAATTTTACTACGTCAAAATTGCAAATACTTCGAATTTACCTGTGTAAAACGATTCATAAAGTCCATAGGCAAGTGCTCCAGCGGCAATTAAGCCTCCCATACCAAACATTCCACCTTTGCCACCGCCTCTTGACAGCCTACCGGCCATGTCTTTTAGTTTATTGGGGTCCATTTTGATATAAAATCAAGAAACTCTCGACCGGCCTCTAGTAATGGCTGCACGCTTTTTATAACACATGGACTATCATCTCGCCTTTTCTCGGACTTTAACGCGAAGCATCATGTTTCAATATGCTACTCATAAATCATAGATTGCATGATTATTACAATTAATTGTTAATTCAAGTAAATTGTATCGTTTTCACCACTATATGACATTGACAAAAAGGGGGAAAAGGAAATAACTGAGCGCTTAATTTATGTTGGTCACATGGTGAACGAGATCCAAGATGTCTGCGACCATGTTACCAAAGACTCTTGCAGTTAAATCATTTCTTTCAAAAATAAGTGGTGTCATTCCAATCCTTCATAACTCATTTCGGCATGCACTTTTTGTCTCAGGAAACAGGTATGCAGTGTTTTAGATTTTGACTTTCCAGATTATTCTGAAACCCCACCTAGTAACGTTATACAAGTGTGTTAGTTGGAATACAGTGGATTATCCAATAGGCCTGCAGTAAAAACTGAGAACGAATTGTTTATTTAAGGATCTAACTATACTTACATCTTAGAAATGGCACCTTATGGGGGAAATGAGATAAAGAAAAAACGTCTCATGTACGAAAAAAGTATGTACAGGATACTGAATTTAAAAAAGGAATAGAACAGGAAAGAACACGACAAAAATTGAAAAGTTCTACTGAAAAGCTAAGAAAGTGACTTTCGCACAAGATTGTTGTAAAAATATAATTAGATAGAGATGAGAAGTGCAGATTAATATATAACACTTACATTCCTGCTTAGGTTTTCTGATAGAATGTTTACTATTTTATGCTAACGCATTAATTATGATAAGAGGTGCATGCACTTAAAACAATAATGATAAAGGTGACAACAGTAGATTTTATCTGGACTTCAAAACTCGTGGTGACACTTTAAAATATAAACAAAGTGGAAGACGAATGCCTTCTCCTGCTGTGTTCACTAAGAAGATAGAGCATACTTGGTGGGGACTCTCACTGAATGCAGTCAGATTAACTATTCGACATGCCTCAGAGCGTGGAAGTTCATTACCCCCCAGCTGCTCCATTATATGTAGTTGTTTATGTGTGTAGCCTGATGATATTAGCATTATTAATGTATAGCATTTGTTTATATCAATAATTTACAAAGGTCTTCTGTGTGATGTATTGCCCAGTAGCTAGCAGTATATATCAGAACCGTCAATAGGAGTGCTAACACATGAATTTTTGTGCTACCCCATTGCGTGATCTTTTTTGCTCAGCTAAAGCTAAAAATCACATTTGATTCCTTGAAACATAAAAAAAGGCTACATGTACTGTAACAAATATTGATCGGATAATTAACTAAAATATGAGTAGTGATTATTCAAACTTCCCTTCAGTTTTTGTTAAAGGCATAACTATTATTCCTGCCACTCTGCATACACACACACACACACACACACACACACACACACACACACACACACACACACCTATGTGAGCTAAACATTTTTAACAAATTTTTAATATGATATTAATTGTATTTTTAAAATCATTTCAGCTGCACACCCTGCTCGAAGCACTTTCACACTTCAAGGCCAGCCAGTGGTTTGTGGGATTTCTTTGATCATAAAGACAACTGGGGGAAGAGGGAAGTACCTGTTGGTAGGTCATATTTAACATTTATAAGGAAAAGTACCTGTTGGTAGGTCATATTTAACATTTATAACTTATAAGGAAAAGTAAGGTCATGGTAAAAAAAAAACAGGGGTGGACAGAGGCCGTTTTCTGGGTCTTCCCGAAAATAATCAAGAGTATTTTAAGTTAATGGACATCTACATTATTTCCTGTTGGAAGATGGTCAGAAATGGGGAATGGATCAACAAAGATAATATGGAAGACTGTCAGAAATATCTCTGGATCAGCCGCTGAAATTACTTAGTATAGTTATGCTGCCTCGGCTTTGTCAGGTAAAACTGCAAGATACCTTTATTTGCATATATATGTAAACAAACATGCCTTTTTATTTTAACATAGAGAAGAAGGTTGGCTTTGCAATGACCCCTTATTTCATTTGTTTCAGGGCGTCCATACAAGAAGGATGAATTGAGGATTAAAGGAAATGAAGATTTACATAAACTATGGTAGGTCCTAGTAGTATCTGGGAGAAGATTTTTGCTTTAGAGTTATGATTTTTTTGGAGGAAAAATGACTGCAAGTAGTATCACAGTTAGAGATCATTCCAACAGATATTTAGATCGATCTATCTCCCTCGGGAGTCTTACTAGATTGCTGTCAGCTTATCCGACTTAAATGTCTGCCTCGCCTTCTAAAAGCTGTAAGGGGGTAATTAACTTCCGTGTGCACTCGGCTCCTGGAAGCTGACAGCAATTTAGTGTGAACCCCCAGGGAGTTAGGTCGATCCAGATGGATCAATCTAAATCTGTGGGAACCCAGTCTTAATCTTCTTGCTAGTGATTATAATTGAAATAGGTTGTATGGAACCATGGTACTTATTTTTAGCCTCTGGGAAGTTGGAATAGCATGTTTTTTTTTATTTTATTTTATTTTATTTTATTAATTAATGTATTCAATGAATATATATTTTTGAAATTTTTTGGTCATTGAAAATGGACTATGCCTGGTAGTGCTAGCCTTTGTGAGATAGCCTTTTGTAAGATAAAAAATAGATTAAAGAGATAGCGACTCTTTGTATGAGATTCTTTTCACATTCAATACATTTTAAACAACACATAGAAATATAATAAACTTTAAATTCTCTATCACCATCAAATGGCAGTTATCACAGTTATTCTGGAATCTGTGCTTGTCACTCGACAACATAGATGGTGGCTATAGTCTGTAATTATCTCTTAAAAGAATATTACCAAACTTTTAAGAAAAACCCATGGGCTTACTCTGAACGTATGAATGGGTTCATTAACCATTGGTAAGTATGGGAAAATTGTCATTTACCCCAGGAAAGTTCATTTTGGCCTAAAGAAACAGCTGTTATCCCTTAAAATGTTACATCTTTCCTTATCCCTTAAATTGTAATATCTTTCCATATCCCTTAAAATATTATATCTTTCCATATCCCTTAAAATGTTATATCTTTCCTTATCCCTTAAAATGTTATACCTTTCCTTATCCAGGTATGTACTGCTGAAAGAATACAATATGCTCCTCACAATGGAACACGAGTATGTAAGAAGAACCGAGGTTTTGCCCTCTCCAGAAAGGCTAGAAAAGGTAATTATGAAGGTGCTGCCCTTTTTCGTTCAAATTGAGAACTTGTTAATCGCTCAGTTATACATCAGGCTTCAGCATTTATTCTTTTGTTCCTGTCTGGTGGTTGGCGTAGATATACCAGACCTAATAAATAGGCTCTAGTTGTAACATGAACTAAAAAATTAATACAAACCAACTAAATGCCTTATAACTCCTTGCACAGAGTCTGTTATGTTTCTCTTGTATCATAATTGAGGAGCATTTTTCAGTTAGTTGTGACTGCTTAATTCAGTATAATTATATATAAAGAAGTAAACTCAGTATTTTCAGTGAATTCTTGATAGCTTTTAAGTGCCACTTGCATTGCATTAAATTTATCTTCATTTTGTCTGAGAGACTAGAATCTCAACTTAAAAGATTAATTCTCACTCTCTCTCTCTCTTTCCATATTCCTGTTGAAAAGAAAATCTATTTTCAAAAGTCCCCATTTTGAAGTGAACTGATATTGCTTTCTATGCAGGTGGAGGAAAGCCTGGATAACCTGTGGGAAGTGGTCAGAGAACGCAATGAGGCCCTTCTACAACTGACCACAGGGGAGGGTTACCCTGACCGCCGCTACCTGACCAAGGATGTCTTGGGGCGGCCACGCTGGAAGCAGCCACGCGAGCACCACGTGCCGTGGTTCATGTCTAAGATGCTGCACGAGTTGAAGTTTACGTCTGGCATGTGGACCAGGCCATTCAGAAGGTTGGAGATGGAACAGAAATCTAGACAGAGAATAAAAGCTGAAAGAAGACAGCTAGGTGCAGAAAAGAAACTGGCTGCTCGTTTTGGGCAAAAGAAAGATTTTAGAATGAAGGGACACGGTTAAATAGTCGCCAAATGATTAAGAAGGGAATTGGTACATGTTAGGGGCTCAATGACACTATGGATATTTTATATACAAAAAGAAAATAATGTGATTGATAGCTTGTATTTGAGAAAATAAAAACACATATGTTAGTGTCATGAAAAAAGAAAAATTTATCTTTTGATTTGCTTTTGCATTTTCGGAAAGTCTACACAGTTGTTGTTCAATAGTTTGGAGTTGGTTAGACTGGTTTCTTTGCAAATGATTTGAATGGTCAAGGAGCCATTTTGGAGCAAACCGTACAATTAAAGAATCCACAACGATTCTTACAGCTAAATACAGATCATCTTTCCATGAGGTTTATTACAGCTGTAGCCAAACTTTTCCTGAGAGTCAAATGAAAAGAAAAAAATCCCCACAAAAATCCAACCTATAAATGTTAAAGTCAAGGTCGAAAAGTTCATCCAGCTGTAGTGACATCCACGGTATTGGTTATGATGGCTTATGGCAAAACGAATTTCCTCACAACAAAGCGGCTGCATTGGATCTGTCTCGCTCCCGTCCTTCTCACAGACAAATGGATCACTGCAGGAATAGGAAGGAGTTGTTGCGTCCGCCTTTGACATATGCCTGTAAGAGAGAAAATTTATTGGAGTAGAGCACCTATTTCTTGTTTACGGAAGGCTGCCAATTTCTGACTTTTTCCAATAACGTGTGGCTTTTTTTTTTTTTTTTTTGTGCCTCGTCTTCAAGACGCTGTCTAAAATAAATGATATGAACAACAGTTCCAATTTTGTTGTGGATCAGAAAGATGGGAAACCAGCTAAAATATTTTATGAAGGCATGGTGCATTCGGCTGGTCAAACAATACCGAAAAATATTATGGTCATTCATGCGTGGACTTGACGAGGTATATTTGTTTTTATTTATTTATCTATTTATTTATTTTTGTTTATTTATTTATTAATTTTTTGAGGGGGGGTCTTAGTTTATTTTTGTACAGTTAAGACCTTCACACATTTTTGTTATGTATGTTGTACTTGGACAAATATATATACAAATTTTCTATGCACTTTTGACAATAGGCCCTTCAATTATTTACTATTCAGAAAAATAACTTAAAGCTCCTGCATGGTAAACTTGCATAGAAAAATACCTTATCAACAGCACACCACGTGAACGATTTCAGCGCCGCTGATTGGCCACGATGTTCGATGTAACCACGGCAACAGGGCATGGGGCACAGGACGACGTCACGTAGTTGTTTAAGACCTTTCATACAGCACATGGCCTGAATTTAGAAAATGTCAATAAATTGTTTTGCATTTTAAGAAAGTGAAATTTGCAGAAAGAGAGCATTAACTATACTACCCAAAACTTCATCTCAAGAGGGAGGGCACATAAATTGATGAATGAATATTATTAAATAGATAAACGAATTGGAGGATGAATAAAATAAAAGAAACTGAAAAAAAATGTAAGTTGTTTAATCCGCAAAGGCTAAATTCAGCCGACAATGCAAAGTCCACATTTCGATATTTCTTTTCACGAGGAGCCCATTCTGTTAGCGTAAGAAAAGGCAAACTGAAAAATTGAATAATACGACCGTCTTCACACTTGTTTAAAGCACTATTTGTCTGCACACGTGAACAGGCAAGTACAAATAACGTTTATTGAACAGCACGCAATAGAACCAGTTATACTTAATTTATTTTCTGTATTGCACTTGTCAATTGTGGGGTTGCTCAGTATTCTGTTACACTCACAAATGAATAAGAAAATAAGCCACATCTACGCATTTAGAGAATTGCGAAGTCGTTGTCTCTCAAGGCTCAAAATCACAATGAAAACAACAGACCATTTAGCCGAGACCTACCGTGTCGTCGCACGTAGCATTCTCCACAAGTAACGTCGTTCCGCAGAGCAGAAGAATGAGACAGAGCGTGCAGCTTCTCATTTTGACAGGCTTGCTGAATTTTGTGAAATATATGTCACCCTCTTCAAGACTTCAACGAAAGAAAACAAATTCGGTACGTTATGGTTTCCACTCACTATGAAGTTTAGCAAACTAAGAGGTACAGGATATTGAAAAGCTTTTATTTACCATTCCCGGTATATTCATCTTCATTAGCTTTCTTAACATAAAACTGACACGGGACAAAGAATGATGTTTTGCGATAATTCAATAATCAATAAGCTTTTCTCTGAGGCCATTTAGTGAAGCAACCGAAATAGTAACCTTGATTATTTCAATGCCAGGTATTTACATTGATTTTCTTGCAATACTTTCACATCCAACAAAGGCCTTGAAATACTCGGGGTCTAAGAACTTATTTCATAAACCCTGTACTTAAATGTATCACTTCTCAAGCTCTGTACATGTTTTAAAGCCCACATCTATGCCCGGAAGGAGCCTTTGTTCCTATGAGAGTTAAAATTTATTTTAAAAAAAGTCTTACAATTGTTCGACAGGAGGCCTAACAACGACAAACTCCTGATATGGTGAAATACAGTATAGTACTGATTTTCTGCTCTCTACTTGAGTCCTGTTTGGCTGAGTTACCACTTACAATCGGTTGAGAACTCCTTCAACCGAATTTATAGCAGTTAGGAGGGATGCTGCTGTGATATGGTCGGCAACGACTCCCTTTTCCATCCTCATCCTTACTGCGCCTCTTCTCTTTTCTCGCCTTAAGCTAAATTGTTGATTTGTTGGATGACTTTGCGAGAGAAAAAACATTTTCACAATAATGCCCTGTCAATATTAATATCTGGTATGAATTTAAGCAAGCTTTTAAGCTATTACGCCAGGTAATAGAAAATGCATTTACCTGGTTTAAGCTAAAGGATGCATGATGTACATGTACGTGACAGTCTCGACTTGGCTTTTATTCGAGCTGGAAGTATTAGTCATATTCAACGTATGCACGATTGCTTTGTGTATGTATACAAATCCGTGCTGATGCTTCCTGTACACTTGCTGTTATGGGGTGACGGGCATACAGAATATGAATAGATAAATAAAATAAAATTGATTTTTAAAATAGCATGATTCTTATTAGGTCTACTGTACGCAAATATTAAAATGCACACACAATAAAATCGAGCGCAAGTTGTTGTAAGCTCTGTATACTCGCCCTTTCTATCCAGCACTCTGTATTTAAAATGTCACATAAAAAGACTGCCGAAAAAACCCGTGCTTGTCTATTTCGCTGTATAAAAAGTGGAAACGATATAGACATTAAAGAAATACACACCTCTTCTTAGTAATTCCTGCAGCGACCCCAAGAACATGCAGGCATTCATATTGAAAAGATTAAAAAAACGCATTTTTGTTTGCAGGCGGATTAAGTATATTATTTGTAGAATGGGTGCTGTATTATTTTCACTTCCGGCACAAATCTATTTTCCTGCTCAAGGCCATTTAAAACAGGACACGAAAACACTGCTTCTCTGTATAGATAACCCAAGGCTATGAAGACGACGAAAATTCAACAGAGTGCGGAATCACTGGCTGAAGGAAAAATAACGGGATGGGCACCGACCCACGCACCCGGATATATGCCCTTAGTGTTCTACTTGGATGCCTCTTTTATGACACGTGTGGCCTTTTTTAAATTTTCACTAAGTTTGTGTGGCCAAGAATAGATCCAGGACATATATAAGCTGAGATAACGTTAGCTATTGCTACAGATTCATATCAAGACGGGAGAGGTTAACAGACGGATATACATATATAATATAGCGTAGAAAAAAACACATTTAGCTCTAGTTGTTTGATTTTGGTCGAGGATAGCGGGGACCACCATGGGCATTTCATTGAAGGGGCTGGTTCTACTACTTGTTGCTGTTGAATCTGGTATGGCGTTTATTTATTTATTTATTTATTTATTTATTTATTTATTTATTTGATATTACGACATTTACGTGTTTATGTGATTTGTGTAAAGAGTCATTGTAGGAGACCTTGAATGAAAGACACAGAGTATTAAAAGGGACAGGTAGTTTCCCCACAGGGGTATATTAATTCCATCAGTAGAAAATTCCTGAAAAGTGTGAGCTACCTGAACACGCAATGTTGGTGTTTACAAAGGGTAGGCAGCCAGACACACTCTAACACATTCTCGCCCACAGAACAGAAATGTGCATTTGATTTACCATAGATATATCAATGAATATCTAGCAAAAAAAAATCTCTCTAGCCTTAGTACAGTTCGAAGGGTAGGGCCTAGATTTGAATGAAAAGTGAGTCAATGGATTGATATATTGCTACAGTTGTATTTGTATACCTCAGTAGCTTACCTGCATAGCCTATCCTATTACTAAACTTTTATTAGTTTTCCAAACGCCTGCAGTAGTGTACGTATTTTACAGAATAGAATAGAATATAGAATAAACGCAGTTGTTCTCTTTCTTTTTTCCAGCGTTCGCTTATCAGTGCCAGCAATGCGTGTACTTTGACGTGAGGCTCGTTGATCCCCCGACAGTTCCTGCGTTTGAAAACCTTACTGCCCAGTTGTCAAATTCGTTATCTCAGTCGGTTGTCAACGACACTTCGTGTTTCCATGGCAACAGCAGTGCCCGTATGGAGTGCGGAGATGTTGGGTGTAAAGTGCAATATGTGTCTGCCACGAGGGCACAGGTTATTCCTTTTGGATTTTTTGTGAGTTTTTTATTACTATTTTTTTCATTCATTACCCGCAGGAAAACGCAGTAGATACTCCAGCGCAGTAGACTACTGCAATCATAATGCAAACCGCAGTAGACTGCTGCAATCATACTGCAAACATGCCTCAAAGCTGCTTCAAGTAGGGAGCTCATTAGCATATTTGAAACATGCTTCTATCATGCTGCTAATCTACTGCATTAATGCTCCTCCTCTGTACAACCCTATGTAAATTTTGAAGTAGAATTGCAGTAGGCTATACTGCATTTTTACTGCAAATATGCTCCACACCACTACTGCGTTAATGCTTCTTTGCTACTTCGATACTACTGCATTTTCGTGCGGGTAATTTTTTGTTTCTTTTCTTCTTCGTGTTTTAGTTAATTGATTCATTATTTGCTACATTTATCTTAACGGTAACCGAAGATGTGCGGAACCTAATCTGACAGTTGACATATATCGACTATGCTATTACATAAGATATAGGGGTCCTTGTTTCTGGTGCATTAGCTAAGCATTTCGCTATATCATATTCCTTGTTTTCACACTCGTGCTTGTTTCTATTCAGAACTTCACAATCAAGGCGGCATCAACATTCGTCCATAGATCCTGCCGTGACCCAGCTGCTAATCCCCCTCCTCCACAATCAGGATGTGTCCCAGCCACTTTAGATACCCCGATCCAAGTAGACGCTTACACAACTTCATCTTTACGAGACCTTGTAACTCAGGATACGGGAATGCAAGGAGGTTCACCGCCTGATGTGGACGTTGAAGGAAACGTGTGTTACTGCTACGGAGAAGATAATTGTAACAGTGCGCCGGTTGGTACAACAAACGCAATCGAAACCAGCACGAGCACTGTGGATGGTGCAACCAGCACAATGGATAGCACAACAAACACAATTTCTACCACAACGGGGCCAGTATCAGCAAGTGCTGCTTTCAGTTCCTCTTTGCTGACTCTGCTTTCTTGTATTGTGATTTCTAGATAGAAACAGTGCCTCAGTTTAAGATTGCTGTCACATAATAAATGGAAGGCCTTTATATCATCATCATTTATTCTTTCAATTCACTCAAAAACATTTGCACAAATTTACCTGTGATATCATATATCTACATTTGAGCAAATCATCAAAAATGAGACAATGTGAATATTTTAGACACATAAAGTTCTGTTTAAACGTTATGCATGTACCCTATGAGTCATAGGCATGACTTTGAGTTATAAATAAAGAAGTGAATGAGTCAGCTATTAGGACATTTCATTGCAAACAGGATATGACCTTAGCAGTATAGTTTAGATCTCAAATGACTCATACTCTGTTTCCTTGTACGTGTTGGCTTAGTGGGAGTCCTTGTTACTTCTAAAAACACCTTGTCGTTGTCATCTAGTTTATGTCATCTACTGTGAGGTTTTAACTTTCGCCGTAACGTGCCACTGAGGATGATATTAGCAAATTACATGGGCTTGACGCTACGCACGGAAGAATTTTGGAGTTGAATCTCTTAGAAACATATGGAAAGGATGGATTCCAAAACCGAGACAATTATGAACGATGCCATTGACCCGGCTAATGAACTTTGGAAATGCTCCCAAACAAATTGTTAGACAAAGCAAACGTTTTTTAAAGTTTTTATCCAACCGCTAAATCTCTTTTTAATAGTAAAATATAATAATTTTACCAATATTTATTTTTGTCGGAACTATTAAATTTATTTGATCTTTCTTGAACCAAAGATGATAAAACAATTTCCGTTTTATGTGTACTTTATAATTTACATACAGTGGTTTAATAAACTTTATTATTATTATTATTATTATTATTATTATTATTATTATTACTATTATTATTATTATTATTATTATTATTATGCCAGTTTTCTACCAATTTTAAGTAATTATATTAGTGGTCCTTGTCTCACTATTTAGATTGTATGAACGTCTCCATGCGTCAGCACATGCTGGCGGAAAAGTCAGAATAGAATAACGTATTTGAATAGAATACCCCGGTATATACAATAGATATAATAATTAGATAATAAGATGTGGTTTGTCTACATTTGTCTATTAGGACAGTAGGTAAAAAGCATTGTCCTTTATACACGTTTAAATAAAAACGTGTAATTTTGTAAAAATGTCGCTATGGGTGGGGGTGGGGTGGGGTGGACACACCTACATGTACCCCTCCCTTGGCTACTGAGGTACCTATCAATATGGTCCTCCTCTTCCTCCCAAATGTCAGTAAATATCTAGCGAATCGAGAGAAAACCAAGTAACTGTTCAATCTAAGCCACCTACAGTAAAATTGACCTATTAACCTTTTTCTTATTTTTTTACATTATATTTTGACTTAAGAAATAGATAAACAAACAAAAAATAAGCACACAATACAAGCACGTTTGCACTGTTTAATATTTTTCAAAGGAAAAAAAGCTAGGCATGCTTTAACATGTTCGTGCCACCCCCAACACCCCACCCCTCAAAAAAATAAAAAAAGTCACCCCCATAAGGGCCATATTTTGAATAAAATATTTTCAGCTATAACTAGCAATTTGTATGCAAGGCTGAATGCGTCTTTTGGTACACTGTACCGGTTAGAGATGTACACTGTCCTCGCCTTAATTTATGGAGCGTCTTACATACGTTCTCTATAACGAACACTTATGAATTGAACTGCAGAAGTGCAACTAATGTATATTTTCTATTGCAACAATATCCCTCGGCGAAAAGGGCGAAAATTGTATATGATTAGGCCTACTAATAACATAGCCTTCGAGGGCTTGAAACATATCTTTTAATCAAAACAGGGAAACTCCCATGATTATATACAACATACTTTAAAATTGCTGTTATTAAGATTAACGGTTATAAATCAGCGTCCTTTTTTTATCTTTTCTTTTCTCTGTAAGTGCAAAAATGTCAACTCCTGTGCCATGTTCCACATCAGGCCTCAAGGTGGTCTCTAAGTCCCGTTCCCAATGAAACTCTCGTTCTACGTAGACCGATCCAACTCCGCGGGGACTTTCGCTGAGTGCAATCAGATTAACATGCCTTATGTCGTTTCCAACGTACTTTTATCATCAGCTTTTCTGTATTCTAATCAACACCATAAGGAGGCGTGTTAATCTGTTAATCTGATTGTAAGCAGCAAGAGTCCCCGCGGAGTTTCACTGGAAAGTGACGGTAAAGACCCTGCCACACTGGGCTTGCGGAAGAAAGAGAAAGAATTTTTGCCCATTCTTACTTCTTTCAAAGTTAGATATCTGATGGTCAAGATCAATGTTACTAATAAACACACTACAGCTTTTTGCTAAATATTTGTGAAAAAAGTCAGCAGCCCAAAATATTCCAATTATAGACAATCGGTTAGGAACATCCTGTAAAACTACCTGTACCACATCGGCCCTCAGACAAAAAACGCTGTCAACATAAGTGATGTGTTTATTTGTGAAATTTGAATGCTGACAATGGGAGCCGTTATGCTTTATGTCCAAGTTAAGATAAACTTCAGATAATAATGAATGTGAGGAGGTTATAGATCATATGTGGTGAAGACTTGCACAGAGACAGACGCCAAGAGACAACATGGGAAAATTAATATTATTGGGCATAACTTGGTTCCTGATTTTTGACACAGGTAAGAACATGCTCACCTCATTTCCTTTTATTCATACATTTGCATTACAGACATATACCGGTATATAAGTGTAGTTATAGCCAGTATTTGGCAAGAACTTTGCGTGGACTTTTTCAACTGGAGAAATTAAAATGCATATGCCTGTTAGTAATATATGATATTAAGAAAAATTATTTTTAAAAAACGCAGTAAGAAAAGCCCCCGTCACACTTAATCGGAATCAGCAGGAATCAAGCAGAACCAGTCGGAATGACTAAATTTAAAAATTCGTACTACATTCGGGAAGTTGGAATACTCAGAATGCGCTTGAATCCGCCTGGAATGATTCGTGCACATTTCGGCTGTATTAGCTCTCAAATGCAGCTCGAATGTAGTTGGAAAATAGGAATATCAATAAAGCTGTCAGAATGCAGTCGGAATATTTAGAATACACTTCGAATGCCCTACGAGTGTAGTTCGATTGCTGGCTGAAATAGGATCGAGATGCATTCGAGTTGCATTCTGGCTCATTCTAGCAGGTTTTGAAGTGTCTTGCCATTTCGGTTCTCCCTCGAATGTGATCAGAATGTTTCGAATGATATCGGGATGCCGTGAGAATATTTAGAATGCAGTCATAGTGCAGTTAGAATACTATTCAAATGCCATTCGATAATTATCCACTTGGAATGCATTTCGAAAGTTTTTAACATGGGCAAAACATTCGGACCGGCAACAAAAATGGGTAAAAATATTTGGAATGTAGTCGGAATTTTTAGAATGCTCTTCGAATATCCAGGAACACACAAAGAATTGTCTTTCCAACGGCATTCTTGCTCATTCCGCCTCTGGTGTGACGGGGGTATAAGCAGGGGTTCGGTTCGATTGATCAAATACAAGTACAGATGTAAGCCACAGACTACTGGTAACTTTCTTGAACACTGAAATTTAGATATATTACTTATGTGAGACAACAAAATAAAATAAACAAGTAAAGAAAATAGTTATGACTTAGTGAGAAAAGGAATAGAAGACTCGAGACGAGCTGCATGCACTAGATAAATAAGCAATTATTTATTAGAAAAAAGCCTACAATGACTTTAAGGCATTTTGTCAAACTAGCAAGTTAAAAAAATCAGGCAAAAGCTCGATAGTAAGATGAGTAGGTAAATACAAAGGTCGTGAAGTGAAAATCACAAGAAGTATGATTATTATTTATTGTGGTAAGTCAGATATAAAAAGATAGGCGTAGATGTGCAGATATCAGCAGAGAAACCGTCTGAGTAACACATTTACCGGGATATTCGGAACTTAGACTGAGGTTTCAACATGATTCTTTATCAATTTTGCATTTTCCCCTCCTATCCTACCGGAACCAATAATACCATTATTACCTATAATTCTTTTCTTTCAGCATTTGCATTCCAATGTCAACAATGTTCGTACTTCGATATGAGGATTCTTGATATCCCTTCAATTCCTGGTCTTCCGAATTACGCTAATCTGCTGTCCAGTATGCTTTCACAGGTTGCTTCCAACGATACGTCATGTCTCCATGGCAACAGCAGTGCCCGGATGGAGTGTGGAGATCTTGGGTGTGCGCTATTTAATTTGTTCTTCATGCAGGCCATTCCAATTTTTGAGGTAAATGTAAGCTTATTTATTTATTTATTTATTTGTTTTAAGAATCACGAGGGGTTTATTCCAGGCGAAATTGATGCGTTCGACACGAACATAAGTTTAAGTACAGGGGTACAATGTATTTTCTTTTACTCTGCTCCTAGATTTCTAACAAGATTTCTAAAAAAAAGCCATCTAACACTGGAAACGTCTCTACACTATTTTTTTTTAATCCTGAGCGAGATGCAGATGGTTGGCGAGGTCGAAAATACACACGCGCACGCACGCTTGGACGCAAGCAAGCACACAAACACATACATACACCGCAATCACTTACTGTTTCACATTTTTATTCAGAACTTCACAATCAAGTTGGCAAGAACCGTTGTGCAAAGATCTTGCAGGAACCCCACTGCTCCTCCTCAATCCGGGTGTGTCCCAGTCACATTAGATAACCAAATCCAGGTGGGTCCGAACACTAATATGTCCATACGACAGCTAATCAACCAGCGTACAGGATCGGGAACGCAGGGCGGCTCTCCAACTATAGTTGAAGTACAAGGACAGACGTGTCACTGCTATGGAGTCGATAATTGCAACAATGCCCCGAATGGCACAACAACCACAATGCCTACCACAACAGGCGTGGTGACCATGCCAACGAATACGGTTGCCATTCCGACGGATCCGGTTGCGCTTGATGTCCAGCAGCAGGACGTTGTAAACCCCCAAACGGAGAAAGCTATTTCAATCACAGTGACAAGATCTGCCTCAGGATGCGCTGCTTTGAGTTACTATCTTTTGTCTTGTATTCTGTTTTCTAGATTGTAGGAGAGTAAAGTTTCTGTTACATGTGTTCGTGCTGATGGCTCAGTATAATCCTAGCAAAAGAAAACTTTTTATAACGTTACCACGACGTTAGCACAACATTTTTGGAGGGTATATAAACGTTATGATAACGTTATAATAACGTTCTATGTTTGCTGGGATATGCTACTAATAATCTCCAAGTAATTCTATTTGCTACATGCACCTTAAGATAAGTATCACTCCATCGACAATAATTATGGAAAGGCAACAGTTCGAAATATTCCATTAAAGTTATCTCGGCAACTGTACGTTGTCTAAGACATTCGGCGATAGGTACCCTTATATAGAGATTTTTAAAACCGAAAAAGTCGGTACTTCTGCAGTATTTCCCCTACCCTATAATTCTCCAAATTTTAAAGTCAATCAATATTAATTATGTGGTGACTTTGATATGTCTGCAATTTTGATAAATTAGGTTGGAAATTTACTCAATTTTTCCTTTTTTTTTAGTAAACATTCCAGCTATTTGACCAATAAGATTGCAGCATATTTTCACTCGGTTTTCATTACACAAGGATGGCAAAAAGTTTCATCTAAAAATACATGGTTAAATGAGTAAATTGAATTTGAATAGTGGACAAATTGCACAATATCAACACATAAATTAAGAGAAGATATTGAAAATCAAAGTTATATGGTGGGAAAAATACTACTTCAGTGCCAGAAAGTCATAGTGAAGTTAAACTTTGACAACTTTTATGTTTAACAAACTGCGGCCGCACTTCGGAACTAACCACTACCGGTTTATATTAATATAATTAGATACCTGTATGTAACAGTAATTAGATTTAAATATTTACACCCGACTAAGGAGTTATATGCCCTTATAATCCACATTTACGCTTTATACTAGTGCTTTACTAAGACTGCATTCCCACAGATTTTAGATCGATCTATCCCCGTGGGGAGTCTGACAAGATCGCTGTCAGATTAGCCGGCTTAAATGTGTATCCCGCCTACTAAAAGCTGTAAGGGGGTAATTAACTTTCGTGCCCGCTCGGCTGACAGCAATTTAGCGTGAACCCCCACATTATGACAGATGTTAATGATTTTCAATATTTTTTAATATTCCATATACCATAAGTAACATGACTTGGAGTTGAGAAAATCCACAGTGAAGATGTTCATATTTTATACCATTTATTCAAATAAAGCGCATGCACCCCTCAAATATGATTTTCCACATTGATTTGCATACAAGAAAAAATAGCCATAAACTCTAAAAGACGCCACCGAATGTCATCAAATTTATACATAATTAGCATCAGAATGTGTTCTTCAAAAGACACTTGTCTGTTAGCGTGTTTGTCTGGGCGTGCTGCAATTATCTCCTTTTGCCGCGGGGCATGCCTCCAACAACACAAACAATCAGATGGTATATCTGGGAATGTTTTAACAATCCTACCGTAACCTCTATCACAGACGTTCGTGATTTCAAAACATTTAGGATTTTTTCCATATAAATAATGAACATGATCCTTATAAAAAACCAAGTCAGTTTAATCTGTGTCTTTCATAAACCTTAAAAATCGAAACGAAAAACCTTACTATTGTGGCCTGTATCGCCGGACAAAACTTTGCCACAAACAAAATTGCAAACGCACACACTCACACGCAAGCTCACAAACCGGCAGACTAATAAAGTTGCCAAAATCTTTCCGCTAGTAAAACGTTTTCCCTGTGTGTTACCATATATACAATTTTACCAGTATCCTCATCTGACCGCACAGCAGTGTCCACGGCTGACCGGCATCCCAGACCTCTCTGATTGTTCTGCCAGACGCTGGATGACCTTCACCTCACGTGAGCCTATAAATGTGATATGCAATTCTCTGCCGCCTTTTGTTTTTTTTTTTTTTTTTGCCTTTGCTGAAAATATCAGGAGGTTGCCCAATTCACGCTAGTTATCCGTAGTTATAACGCTAGTTATCAGTACCGGCTATTTGTCTGAATTATCCCGTTTTGTTTCTTCTTGATTTTTCTTCTTATATATTTATATATTTCCGTATTTCTGGATGTTTTTTCCTTTTTCTGTTGATTTGGTATTTTTCTCATAGCCTAATGATTTTTAAAATCAAAATATGATATATATTGATTGACTTACTTATTCAACTAGAGCTCTTCCTTTCAATTTGTTTGTACACTTCATTTGTGCATTTGTTCATTGGCGTAAAGAAAGGATAAATACTTGGCTCAACATACAGAGCAACCTATCGAATCAATGATGAAATTATAGATACACGTGACGCCAGTATGTTGCCCATCTGGAAACCTCGCACTCGGGTCGGACGTGGCCTAATTCACCAAACAGGCGATTCCAGTGTAGCATTATCTCTGGAACAGAGGTATTTGACAGAAAAATCAGGAGAAGACACGGCCTCAAAATGAAGGAGGTAAGACCGCATAGATATTCACACAAGACGCATTCATATCAATATTGATTGCTGCAACCCGCACTGGAAGCGCTTGTACGCGTGTTCACCTTTCTCAAGGTCATAACATGCATACACACGATTCCAGTACATCCAAGAGCGAGGCACGTGTCTTTAATCTGCAAAGCAGAATGGGTCTATTTGAAAAAAAAAGCCACCCCAGTGAAGGCAGGGAGGAATGGATAGTTGTTTGGGGCAATATATATTTATATGGAGGTGGAAGTATGGACGGGTGTGAGGGTGGAAAATACATGCGTCTTAGGCAGTTTGCCAGCGTTTTGATTTGGATAGCGGTAACCCAAATACGATGCCGTCGACAATGTGTAACCCCTTATGCGTAACACAGAAAATGCCTTTCAACTGATACCATCAAATATTTATATTTACTTGTATTAGTGTGAAATCATAATTTTTCGATTGTATCGCTTCAGAATGCAGGGATGCTTAATACATTAAGTTTTTTAAAGATTCCGTTTTTTCATTAATTTACTTTAGCAGATGTTTAAAAACCTACTCTAACTTGGTAGGAATATTTATAGTAAAAACATTTTTTCCCATGTATAAACATCAGAGCTAGAACCGATTGTTTCATTTCATGATTAACAACGAAAGAACTTTACCCAAGTAAGTACTTTACCCGGGTAAGGAAACGTCTACCACGACCATATGTAACGTAGTTACAAAGTACACAATGGATAAAAAGAGAACAAAAACAAAATAATTTGGCCTCCTCCCAGGAGCAAACTCTGTTGTGGACCAAAATCATTATTGCATATTATTCGTTTACTGCAAGCTTTTGAAATATTTCAGATGGTTTATTTCATTTCTTAATCAGCTTTTGTACAAGTAATAAGGATATGGTTAAAATTAAAGAAAAAAGGTCATGGCCTTTAATAGCTAGATATGTTGCATAGGTAAGCGAGGGGAAACAAACATGGGGGAGGGGAATCTCGATAATGTTACATATATTATGCTATTATGAAGAAAACACATGTCTGTACATGGTTAACTGCAATCTTTGCTTGGTTGCATCAATCATTTATGGGTTGCTCACATTTCGCTGGTGGATCAAGGAGGGGGTAGCTTTCAGGCCTCTTTTAATTCTCCCGGCAGATATGAAACAAATATGAAAACGTCTTGTAATTTACTACGATGCACTGTTGTGTATTTAGGGGGCAGAATAAAAATTGCCTGGCATGGTGTCGGTGCGTTCGTCGTTACAGTTTTTAATAAATATTTTACGAGGGAGGGGGGGGGGGGGCAAGGGGGTACACATGAAGATGAAGGTGGAGGGGGGGGCACGCACCTGTTGTGCCTTCCACCTCATACCTGAAGTATCTGCACATGTCTTACGTCATCTCCATTTGACGGCTATTCGGATCATAAAAGACAACATTTTATACAATGTACATTCAATGTATATGCATATGCACTGTACGCAATGCTTCGACTTTCTGTTATTTTTGCCTACAAAATATGACGTCGAAGAAATTGGAAAAATATAAAAGCACAATAAAAGATAAAGCACAATAAAAAATACGAGCATGATTTGCTTCCAGATAATAATTAATTGTAATAAACCCAATCGTTTTGATTTTAAGATGAGAATATTATTACGTAACACTGGGAACTCCTGCTACCAGTAGCTGCGCTATCAGCTGTTAATCATTGTTTAACCGACTCACGTCTGAAAGAGATATTTCTTGTTGTTATTCTACCTACCTCGCTCCACGTACCAACCTTTGGTTTGTTTACACACACTCTGGTGATTGCGTAACGTACACGGAGTGGAAGGTTTTCCCCGCAGGAACATTGCTAAAAAAACGCCATTGTTCTCCCCTGTCTGAGGATACTGCCGACGAGATCGAGCCAGATCACCCTGGGAGTCTGCTCTTTGTTCACTACCTCTCCCCATTCTTATTTTCTTTCTTTTTTTTTTTTTTGCTATTAAAAACAATTATACTCAAAAATGTACCCACTCATGCACATGCCTTAATGGAAANAACGTACACGGAGTGGGAGGTTTTCCCCGCAGGAACATTGCTAAAAAAACGCCATTGTGATCCCCTGTCTGAGAATACTGCCGACGAGATCGAGCCACATCACTATAGGAGTCTGCTCTTGTTCACTACCTCTCCCCATTTTTTTTTTTTTTTTGGCTATTAAAAACAATTACACTTAAAAATGTACCCACTCATGCACATGCCTTAATAAACATGCAGACTGACGATAGAAATAACGTAGCTACTATAGCACAAGTATTAAAGTAGACAGTTGTCTTTTGCCAAATAATACATTAAATTTGACAAAATATTTGATGTAAAATGGATTTATATAAAAATGGATCATCAATAAGAATGGCAAAGAGCAGCCTACTTTTCACTTTTGAAAAAATTGTTACAAAAGAACAATCATTAGTGTCGGTATTCGTGATTTTAAGAACAGCCACCAAAACTTAACTCATCGACAGTGAGACGGAAAATGAACTTTGACAATGTTCTTGATTGCATAGGGTTAATTACTTTTTTGTTTTTGTGGTCTTATCTCAATGCAGTTCATTATCTTGATTTCCCTCTTTACTACACGTATCAGCCGTCGTTCTTTGACAAATATTTTCTTACTGTACAGAAAAAAAATAACGAGAGGAGAGAGGCAGCTGGAAAGGCATAAGATTCGTGACCAACTGCATCCCGCCGGTTTTATTATAGGCGCTCTAAAAGGAATGTTTTGATTTTTTAGATGGAAGCAATCTCTAGTCGATGCAAGTCAGTAAAACAGAAATGATTCTTCTAAATGGTGTATGGTAAGATGTAACTATAGCCTAACTAGCATAAGTATCGATTGTTTAAAATCACAACGGCAGCTGTGTCACGAACTCCGATTAAAGCATTAAGTCCCTTGGGTGACAGTGAAGCTTAGAGCCGTTCACCAAATTCTCTTTTGCTTCACATCAATATGGAAATGCTTTGATTTGAAAATCACAAGGCATATACATCTAGATGGAATAGATTGCGGACAATAATGGTGTGAGGTCTTGTATAGACAGGCATACTAAGTGTAAGAAAACACGAAAATCGAACCACCATCTGTATGCCAGCATGCTGTTGCACATTTTTGTGAGAGCGAGTGAATAATGGAATTTGGCCTCAGTGTTGCCTTTTGCCGGGTCATCCATGCCCTGACAAGCGCTTTTTTTTGCAAAAGTTTCACTTGCCATGGGCAGTACAGTTCAGTGTGTAAAGCAGGTTAATTCATGTTGTAATCTTACAAACAATCCACTAATTTTTTTAGTTAAATGACTGCAATTCATATCTGACACTAGGTCTCTGTAAAGGAATAAAACCATGAATACCTATCCTAACACGGTTTTACATGAGTCTGTGTTATGGAGGCTGATCGAGAACGGTGGGGCTCTGTATGGCATTTTCATTTATGCAGTTATATTTGATATATAGTTGCAGTGAAAGGAGAAGATATATGTTCTCCGCGAGCATTGCCCGCGAAAGCTTCTCCAGTATGCTAAGATCTGAAATTAATAGACTGCAGCTGCGAGGGACTCACCTGTGCAGCGAGGCGTGGCTTAAAAAGGTGTTACGTGTGTCTTTAACTTTGATTGGCACACACGTCGCGTGACCTTTGAAGGCGTTGTCTTTATGCTGAAATGAGATTTGATAGGTGAAAATGACACACCCTGAGTAGGGCGGAGTTTTATTTGATTGGCAGACTCAACGTGGAACATCTATCAGGGATTGAGTAGCCATTGAAGGCGTTTTCTATATGCTGAGAATCCGATTGGATAGCTGCATATGACGTTCCTGTAAGGGCGGGGTTCATCAATGACGTCGATAGCTTGATCAGCTTCAATATTACAGGCAACCTGTACTTCCGATTTCATGCTTAAGCAGCAATTAGAGTCACTGCTAGAGTATGAATGTGGTTTTATATCATTTTCAGTGTAAGTGCTTAATTCACTTCATTTTAAAACAAACAGTGCGAAAGCAATGTACATGTACATTTTCATTTGAGTTAACCGGTAGCAATTTCATATTTAAGAAAAACCATTTCTGCCCCAGCGAATTTGATGGAGGGGGATGGGTAAAGACATTCCTCCATAATGCCCATAAGAATATTTCATTCATTGTGTTTAATGAAGGAAATGATATAATGAAAATATCACAGTTGTAATGTTTATTAACCAAATTTCCATTGGTATTCATGTAGTCACTTAAAATTATAATTTGCTGTTTTGACGTTTCGAATGCTTTCCACACCAACCCTGCTCCTACACGTATAATAGCAGTTAAGTTAGCAGAGCACTGTATATTCTATCATTAATTAAAACAATTATCGTATGTCTAATCAAACTTTGGTTCATTTTACGTGTAAATTAACCGCCGCCAATATAATAAGATACTGTAAAGTAATGAAACTATACATGCACAAGGTTTAAAATTAAGAGAGGTTTCAGCCATCTCAGAAAATTTTCACAATTTGGAGGCGCAAGCATCACTTATTATTCTTTGAAATATTGATTGATATTTTTTATTTTGGTTGCTCGTTACATTTTATTTTTACTTTTGTCTTCAGGGTCTCACTTTTTGGTTGATGTTTTCCACGCTGGCAGCAGTTTTTGGTACCTCGCTGCTTTTTGGGTACAACATCGCCGTACTGAACACCCCCGACACGGTAAGATGATATTTTATATTAGCCTATTCTTTAGTGTTTATAAAATTTTCAGGGCTAAGTACTCCCCTGCAGTCTCAATGGGCACGTGTGGATGAGATATAGACAAAATCACGCGCTGGATTCAAGAATAAATATGGATTTGATTTTCATGAATAATTTTCAATATAACTAGTTGATGTAAAATGCGTTGCCAGTTCGCTACTGTACATCGTGGTGCAAGTTCATCGCTTTTATGGAGAAAAAAATTGCCAGGTGAAAAATATATCAGATATCAACTATTTTGCCGCCTTACAGATCATCCAAGCGTTCTACAATCGGACTTACTATGAACGAGGCGGAGAATACATGGACAAGAAAGCTCTGGAACTTTTGTGGGCTGTCACCGTGGCCATTTACGTGGGCATCGGGATGATTGGGGCCTTCACCACCTCATTCGTGGCCGATAAATTTGGAAGGTAAACTGGTGAACAGAGAGAGAGAGAAAAGAGAGAGAGAGAGAGAGAACAGAGGAAAATCGGAAATAATCATTACCATCCAAGTTTCGTAACTTCGAAACGTTCACACACTAGAGAAAACACAAAGCAAAATTTAATATTGATCTGTCCATGCGAAAGCAATCGTATCTGTTATATCACAATATAATAAAGTATGGCAGATAGAATGCAGTTTACACTATAATAGTGCACGGCGTATATGTCTGACATGAAGCCACAATTATGGGAAAAATATACGTACACGCACACGCGCACATGCACGTGAGCACTAATATCGGTACATGGCTTTAAATATAAGTTAATGATATCAAGTAAACTATCATTGTCTTTCTTCAGGAAAGGGGGCCTCATGTTCAACCACACGTTTGCACTGATTGGCACGTTGTTAGAAGGTCTGTGTAAAGTCACGGCCGCACCTGAACTTCTGATAGTGGGCAGGGGCTTCGTGGGATTTAACTGCGGTAAGTGTCCGTGTCCGTGTGTGTGTGTGTGTGTGTGTGTATGTGTGTGTGAGAGAGAGAGAGAGAGAGAGAGAGAGAAAGAGAGGGGAGAAAATCGTTGAACTTCTGTGTAGCACAGAGGGTAGGGGGTGGGGGCGAGGTCGGTAGAAAAAGAAAGACTAGAAGAGAAAGGGGGCCTCCGGATCATTTAAGTTGACGAACTTCCGCTTAGGTTAACTGCATTCTACTTTCAATAACAAGATTTGAAATTAAAGAATATATTATGGTACTAATATTGTGTCTTTAAACCTGTAATACGTAATTACAGTAGACATCGGGATTCGCTTGCCATACTGGCTCACATCATGTTGCGATTATTAACTACAGTTTAGTATTACCACACTAGTATATCGTTTGTTTCAAAACCTGTTCAACCACCAGTTCAAACACACACATGTTATGTTTGGTGAAGTTCTTTATTTCTACCCAGGTATGACTGTTGGCATGGTGTCCCTGTACATCACAGAACTGGCGCCAAAAGAACTTCGTGGAGCTATTGGCGCCTGCCACCAGATGGCGACAACTATCGGCATCTCATTGGCTCAAATCCTTGGCCTCAGGGAGATGATAGGTTAGTATGGGGGTCTGTTTCAATAAAAATATTATTTTTTCCTATAAATTTATTTTAATTTATTATTATTTTTATTATTATTATTATTATTTGGGGGTTTTATGTAAAATATCGCAAATTGTCTGCCTTGTGGGCTTTTTACTCCAATTCTATATCATAGACCGTTTCCCTTTCAAAAAAAAAAAAAAAAAAAAAAATCACTAGAAATATTTAGTGACCTGCCATTTAAGGTGGAGAAGAGCTATGGCCACTGCTAGTTGCGTTCTGCGGGATCCCGGCCCTGATCTCACTGTTGTGCCTTCCATTCTGCCCGGAGAGCCCGAGATTTCTGCTGCTGAACAAAAAAGACGAAGAGGCAGCTACAAAAGGTAAGTTCACAAGGCTAATAAATGCACCTTCTGTCGGGTTAAGACGTGATATAACAGATAAAGATGGTTACAAATATTTATTTATTTATTTATATTGGCACATATATTAGTATAAACTAACTCCTTATAACTTTTCACCAAGACATTTCTTTGCAGAAAAAGAATTGTATGGTCCTTTTTTCGATTTGGGGAACAGACTCGAGTTATAAAGCTACATGTACATGTACGTTTCCAAATTCTACATTTATAACTTAGGCATCCCTTAAAACTTATGTCTGTTTACGTCTGTTAGAGTTGTTTTGTTTGTTTATTGGGGCACCTTATGAAGTACTACGCATCATTCGATATCTAAGTGCGTTTGTGCATATTTTTTGTGTGTCTCTTTTTAAATTCCCTTTCCCGAACTTTTTGTCATTGATTTTTTTTCACATTTGTTTCCAGCGCTACAACGACTTCGTAATCATGACGACGTTTCAGCGGACATAAATGAAATGAAGGTTGAGGCAGCCGACGCAGCAAAACGGGCCAAGTTTGCCTACATTGATCTCTTCCGTCACCCTGAACTGCGCATGCCCGTTCTCATTTCCGTTATAATCCAGGTGGCGCAGCAATGGTCTGGAATAAATGCGGTAAAAAGAAATATTTTAAAGATGTTGAAATTTTTCAAAAATGACTGTATACGTGAATATATACAGTTATAAATATGCATTATGGTAATTTACAAAATGAGAGCCAAAATGGCAAACAGTAAGGTATATGAAAAAATATAACAATAAGCTGATACTTCATTACACGCTATCACGCTTATATATGGATGATTCAGAACATTTTCCTTCTAACGTAGGTGTTCTTCTATGCCGCTAAAATCTTCCGCAATGCCGGGGTTGACGACGATAAGGTGCCATATGCTATCATTGGAACTGGGATTATCAATGTACTCGCTACCATTGTCTCGGTCAGTTGGTCTCTCTCTCTCTCTCTCTCTCTCTCTCTCTCATACTCGCACTCACAGTTGTTTCAATTCATTTGCACGCATTATGTACACGTTTATCAATATGGAAAACGTAGGTTATATTTCATGAACAACAAAATTTTGTAGGAGTAGTTTCCATATTTTATTGTTTTTCTTTTTTGCATAATTAAAAACATTATCCCAATTACCATACTATTTAACATTACGTGTATCTGATGAAACATACACAAATTGTCGCGTTCATACTTCAGATGCCACTGATAGAGCGCCTAGGGCGGCGCCCTCTGTTGATCTGGCCCATGGGGTTGATGGGCATTTCCTGTATCGCAATCACAATCTCCCTTAGTTTACAGGTGAGTTCACAAGACCATGCCATCACGGAAGCAACATTGCAAGGCATGCGTTAGTAAGGAGGGGGGGGGGTGCCAATCTCTCAGAAGAATTGAACGTCGCATGTTGCCCCCCCTCCTGCCCCCCCCAAGCTCTTTGCACTGACGTGCGTGGTTGAAAACATTTAAACCAGCCAAAGTGTCCCCCAAATGTAGCCAAAGTGTCCCCCAATTTTCGATGGTTAATTATATTTAGACGTAACTGCCTCGTGCGTTCATCTATTCTAACAGCAATTGTTAGCGTTTTAGATATTTCATCATCTTAAAGTTTTCATCGGGCGGAAATAGCTAGCTCTGGAGCTTTACTTAAAAATTCATTGCCTAAAATCTTATAAGAATGCCTCATTGATAATATACTTTTCTTAAGGATACGTACGCCTGGATGGCATATATTAGCATCATCTTCGTGCTAGTCTATGTTATAGGATTCGCCCTTGGATTAGGTAAGTAAAGCAGGTTAACCACACTGCTAGCTGGTACAATGTATAGCAAAACTTGGCAAAAGATATAGGCGTCAATTGTGAATAATTTTTGGTGGAAAGGCGCGGTTGACAAATAATTTAAATAACTGTAAACTAGGTGGAATGTACTCCTGTCACAGGCGCGTTATCAAGTTGTCCTCAATATGAGTGCCCCCATCGGTTTGTAATGATTACCGTGGCTACTGTCGTGGTTTCAGGGCCCATTCCACAGTTTGTGGTAGCTGAACTGTTCCGCCAGGAGCCGAGGGCTGCAGTCATTGGACTAGCTCAGTTTGTCAACTGGACCTGTAACTTTATCCTGGCGCTGACCTTCCCCTTTCTCCAGGTAAATTGGTACATGACTTGAGATGTAATCAAACTTAACATACCTGCATGTTACAGCTCTGGTAAATGAGCGTTAGAGTGATGTGACGGTCAGCCCGTCCATTTTGGCCTATTCACAATGAAATTATAGCGTTCTACGTATATCGATCCAACTCCGCGTTGATTCTCGCTCAATGCAAACAGATTAAAACACGTCTCCTCATGTTTTCAACGTGCTCGTAATATCATCATTTTCTTGTATTCTACGCAACGCCAAGACTAGGCGTGTTAATCTTACCATCTGATCGCATTCATCGACAGTCCCCACGGAGTTGGATCGATCTACGTATGACGATAGTTTCACTGGGAACGAGCCCTTGGTTTGAATAGTTATTTTCTTCTTCTTCAATTCCTTATAAGCATTTTATATTGCATTATTACAACATAATTTAATCAACCATGTACACACAAAAAGGGCCACTGATATTGTATTATAACCGCTAGTTTTAAGTGACAAAATTAATCTGCTATATTTTTATTCACGTTTGAAGACGCATCTAGGTTTTGACGCCCTATAGGAAAGCTATAGAACGCCCCTATCCAATAAGTTATCATTATTGTTGCATGTGATCTCTAAATGCTTTATATCACATGGTTTTGAAGACGATTTTCTATTTGATCTTATCTTCAGGAGGGCCTGCAAGAGTACACTTTCTTACTATTCTTGGTCATCATTGTCGCGTGCATCGTCTTCTTGGCTTTCTTCTTACCGGAAACCAAGAACAAGACTTTTGAGGAAATCGCCACGCACATGCGCACTTTGGGAAAGACATCCGAAGTGCCGCCTACCAATAAGGAAGAAGAATCAAATTTATGAAAAAAGCTTTTAATTGTTATAGGAAATGGATTTTATCATTGTTTTTTATTTCTTATCTGTTATTTTTTATGTACATAATCTTCTTGGGAAATATTCAATATAAAAGACAAAATTCTTTATTTAGCCCTTTTTGTTTGCGATCTCCGATTATGTGCACAACAGCATATAATCTAAAGCTCCCAGTCTTTCAACCGTGATAGGAGTACTTTTTTATATAAAAACGGATGAATCATTGCTGTCGATGTATTTTCCATAAAGCATTGATACTAGTATGTTAATTGTTGAGTAGTTGCCAATACTGTTTCTTCGGAGTTCAAACGAATGTTTTTTCTTCCATTTTATACAATTAAGAATTTATATAAAATGATCTAAAAGAATTGACGGCGGTATGATACAAAATTAGTAAAGATTCATAAGATTCGTGTTGAAGATTGCCTTATGCAAAAGATTGAAATGCTTTTATATATTAATTCCCTCGAAACAGGGTTGCACGCATTCATCTGGTATCGAACATTCTGTCTGTTTATATTGTTTACAGTCTTTTCTTTTGATGTTTTGCCTAAAACATACTCCGTCAAAACACAACGACTTGATTTGAAGCTCTGTGAACTCAATGGAAGAGATATACTAGTGCCATAAGTTTGGTTCTTGTATGCCGTTCATTGTGCGTTGAATAAAGAGAAGGTGCATTGTGCATGTACTACACTGTAGTAGTCTTAAAGAAAGCCAACTGTTGTGTTCACAAGTTACTTAACCCTTATTTCGTGTGTGTTAGTTTTTCAAAATGCCCCTTTAACTCCGGATCAAGGTCAAAAGAACGACAGTTAAACGGTATCTCACTTTGAAAGCCTAGGTCTCTGTCTTTCCAGTGTATCCAAAGTGAAAAGAAGCGATTGGCTAAAGACATCTTTAATTGGAATAAATTCAGAAATGTATTAACTTTATTTACTTATTATTATTATTATTATTATTATTATTATTATTATTATTATTATTATTATTGTATGTTTTTGTTTATTTATTTATTTGCTTATTGATGATAAGCTGTTATAACTAAGCGGCAGAGTGTGGTGTGTGAACATACTTTTTGGATATTTGTATTTTGATATATTGGTGCCATATCTTTAATAAAGTCATTTTCAATATTAAAATACATTGTGTGATAATTGCTTAGTAGAAATGTCTCATTTAAACAAAGGAAAGAAAGTTGCACAGCCCACTCCACTAATAAGATTTCAAATAATGACAGTAATATTTTAAGGTTCTGAAAAATAAACGACGTTTCTTCATTCATCACTGTATATAGCTTTTTTTAAAATTATATTTTTGTGAGGAAAATGTAATTTTTCATTGAATTTTAGATGAATAAAGAGCCACCGTAACACAGTCGTGGTACAAATGGCACCAAATGGATGCATCCTTCAGTATCACAATGTGTAGAATGTGTTAGGTGAGATATCTGACCACGTGATCGTGAAACACATTTGAACGCATGTATGATGCTGAGAAACGCCTTTGCTAAGTAATTATTCATTCCTTTCTTCCGTTATCATTCATTAAACGTAATTTATCTGAACAAGACACTTTTTTAAATTCTGGCAATTACGTACAGTTGTGCGTTCGGTACTGGTTAAAATATATGCCACCTGCACCTGTGACCGTAATTCGATGTTTTAGAAAATTATAAAACCTTTTGCACCTTGAGAATCTTGCAGTCGTTCTCGTGATTTGTAACGTTGCAATAGCTGTCTACATGATTGACTATTATTATCATCTAAATACTGATGGATGTGTAGTAGTGCTGTCTAAATGAGTGTATTGACTTATAGAGTGAATGATCGCGGGATATAAATACAGGGACTGTGAACGAAATTCCTGTCGTGCGAAAATAGCCCGTTTTATACGGCTAGGAATAATCACTCGTTGATAGCAATGAAGTACACAAACTCCGACAAACATGGACAATTTTAGATAAGAAGTAGCACCTTGAGATTTTGCTTGAGTTTTCCTTTTCAAGAAATACATGTAGGTAATGGACGAAATGGGTAATGTGTCTTTTTCACGATGATGCCTGTCAATTATCAGACTCACTAAAATGTGTACCTGATGAAGTTTCTCAATGTTATGGATAAAGAGTGTTGGGAAATGTGTTCTCTGTGAGAGGAGGGGGAAAATGTAAACAGATATACTACTCGATGTCGCAAATGTCGTTTAATTTTTCACAGAGTAAATTAATGATAAAAAGAGTAGCAATCGTTTAGGTATGGTCCTGAGTATTGGTCCCGAGAAAACAACAGCGAGAGATGGGGTGTTTTATTATTTACATGACTTGAACGATTCAACCCACACAGTGAGAGACCTGGTAGCACCATGGTGCAACAAGTGGTGAAAACGGCATAAGGATGGCACCCTGTGGGTAAAAATCCTAATACCAAGTTAACCTGCTGCAAGGTGGCTCTAAATTAATTTACTGGACTGTAAATGTGCCTGTGAACTCAAACTTGGGACAAAGAATCTATCGATATGAGATTGGAAAACACTTGTTTTTATAATTAGAAAAGAGTGGGTGGGTAATCTATGGTAACATCTTTGACACATTAGACCAGACAGATTGTTCAACTTAATTGGTTTCTACTGGTTGTGGTTTGATCAATTGGTCGGGAGTCAATTGAAGAACCAAATCGAAGCGCTCGTGGCAATTGAAATAATGACATGATTAACTAAAGCCAAGTCTGATAAATTCTACAGAGTAACACAACGATACGGTAAATAACGGTGGGTGTACAATGAGGCGTGAATCATAGATGAAAAAAAATAGAGCAAAAAGTATGGACGGTCAGATATGATATGGTATGGTGTGATTACTGTTTTCGAATATAGATTATACATGTATATACATGTAGATTATCTGTATGAGGTTCATTTTGGCAAAATGGTACTTGATTTTTTTATTCATTTTATTTTATTTATTTGTTTATTTAATTACATTTGACCTTGGGCTGTCTCTGCAAATTTTCATATGCTTATGGTGGAGGTCTGAGTGCTGTCTAGATATTAGTTTAGATCAAATCAAGAGAAACACTCATCCGTCTGTCCAAGGTAATAAAGGAAAAGCGATTTATCAAATTTAACAGTTGGTTCACGGGAGGTTTTCTACTTCGAGGAGCTCCTAGAAAACTGATAACGTGTGGAATTATATTTATGAATCGCCACACATTACCACCCTGAGTTTAATTTGGCGCTGTACTAATGGCAACTCAGCATTGGTGATCACCTACTTCTAACGACGCGTACGATGACATGCGAACATACGAGAAAGATCCTTCAAAATAGCATTTCGTAATGAGTGATATAATTATCAATCTATCTGAGGAAAATTAAACACCATGGAAAAAAAAACAACAACAACAACAACAACAACAACAACAACAACAAAAAAAAAACAGGTGTTTGTCTTTGTTGACAACTTTACTATGGAAACCATTGGCTTGTAGTACTTGGTACCATAGACACCATTGGCTTATAGTTCTTGGTACCATGGAAACCATTGGCTTGTAGTTCTTGGTACCATAGACACCATTGGCTTATAGTTCTTGGTACCATGGAAACAATTGGCTTGTAGTTCTTGGTACCATAGACACCATTGGCTTATGGTTCTTGGTACCATGGAAACCATTGGCTTGTGCGCATTATTGAGCTGAGTTCTGTAAGTGTACGAGAGACAGGGTGGGTGCTTCGTGTAAATATGTAGCCATTATCATTGAAGTAGACTTTGGATATCACATTTGTGCCTTTATCAATACAAGTACCAATCTCTGCAAGTAATAAACTACTCTGATAGACAAAATCCCTGCTATACTTTTTATTGGCACCGAGAGAGATCGTGTTAATCGCAGAAAGTTTAAAGCTTTGGGCACAATACTGAAACGCAACCCTCTATTATTTAAACGATATTATTATTATTATTATTATTATTATTATTATTATTATTAACACAGTTATAATTTTCAAAATGTCTTTGCGCCGATTCCGAAATGAAATAAGAAACAAACAAACGAACAAATAAATAAATAAATAAATAAATAAATAAATAAATAAATATCGTGAGTGTCATGTTTCTCTGCAGTGATAACGTATACATCGCATGTCAAAGCTAACATATGGTTTTATACTTCCTTGCAGTGGATTGAGATTCGCTCTGTTATCACGTACTTGTCGTGTGTGGACAGGGACAAGACAGCATGTAGATATCCAAACAGCATTTTCCATTTTTTGATAAGCCTATTTCAGTGTACGTCAGTTTTTACGTCATTATTTGAGGGATGGGTATTGAGCCTACCAATATATTGTGATATCATTTTTACCTTATTTATTTTGTTTATTCGTGAAGTTTTTAACATGAATTATTCAAGTGAATTAATCTTAAATAACCACACGACACTCTTTCGATGACAGAAAAATAATGCCTACTTTCCTTTTATCATAAAAGTACCCCAAGCTTACGCACACTATTCAACCATTACATACATTTTGCCTTGATTGTCAAATATAATTCGCATGCTCCTTTTTTGACATTTATTTCGATGCTTTGCAAGATATAATCTTACGAAAACATATCCCAAGCATGTAAACAAGCCTTCATAGGAAGCTGGTGGAGCATGGATTGTACATTAAATCAATCTTCAGGACAGCTTTTAATCAATTGGAATTGGATCCTCGTCCTTTTGTTGACTGTAATTTGTACTTTAATTCCTAATGACAGTCTCCCAATGAGAAAGTCGATTTTCTTGATTCAAAACAATTATGTTAGCTCGCGGGGAGACAAGGCCGTTATCACTGCGCTCTGCGAAATAAATGCAGCTCATTTTAAATTGGAGATAAGCATGGTGCGGATCTACGTACGCCTGCCTTGATGAGGTGAATTCCGTCAGTTTTATTAGAATGAGATGATTTTTTTCTTCAGTCAGCAGTTAATATTGAGTTTTTACCACCAATATTTCGATGTCTATCAAGACATTTTCTTCAGGGAATGAGGAGATCCAGGTGAATAGCCTCTATTCAGGAGATATACTTGCCCCCCCCCCCCCATCTCAATATTAGCTGTTGACTGAAGAAAAAATCATCTCATTCTTATAACTTAACACAGCTGATGAAATTCTTCTCTGACGTAGGTTTTATTAGAAACGAATATTGGAATCAGGCGTGCCAGGGTAATAAAGATAAGCGAAGAACTTTAAACACCAAAACTTGTTTTCTGGCGATTGACACAATATAACTTTTCAATAAGAGATACCATAAATGTAGGGGAACTATGTAAATCTTAACAAAGAGAACAAGATCTGTACTTTATCAAATTGGCTTAAATCGTTTGCCCGCATGTAAGAACGTGTCAGATTGCATGGGAACACATGCGGCTATATCAAACTGCGGACTAGCCATTTTGATAACACTTAAAAGATTTTGATTGTGATTTATGTATAATTTTTAGGTACCAAAACAGAGTTTCTTTAATTAGCTTACTGAGCACTACACCATGTCATACCAGGCAGCAAACGCATGTTTCTGTCGTTTCCGCTTATTGGGTAGAGAATGCTGATGGTAAAGGCCAGTTTTCAGGACGGAGGTAGTTTCCAGCATTCTCTGAATCTGATGGTACTCAGCACATATCAGTGATGTAAAGAATGGTACAGTTATTGTTTTACAAGACCCCATGGTGGTGTTTACCTTGGTGTACACAGAGCCCCATGAAACTTTAATATTTCACACTATAGCCCCTGAATCTCTCCTCTCTGACAACTCGGTCAAATTATTGTATCTGGCTTTGCTTTAATTATGTAAACTATATGAGCGGGTACTACC